GCTCAGGAAGACGTGTGATGGCCTCCGTGCCTGGGCCAAGCTCGGCAGGCAGTAAGCTTAGAAGGGTGGGCACCCCCCAGCCCAGCTGGCAGCTGGCGGTACATACTTTGCTTATGTTCAGCCAGCACTTCTCCAGCTCGTTTCCCTGAGTTTCAGAGAGCTGTAAAGCTGTGTTCAGGAAAAGGTCGCAGTTCTGCACGTCTCCCATGAGTGTGCACACATAGGCCATCAGGTGGTAGAGCCTCGGGTAGAAGACAGGGCTGACGGTGTTGTGAGCCACCAGGCTCTCCAAGTTCTGAAGGGGAAGCAGCATATCGGAATCAGACAAGGGTCCTTAACTGCAAGGTCCCCTCCTCCACAGACTCGGCAACATTTCAAGGACAAAAGCAATCCAGTGACCAAGTTTGTTGCGGAGACATACATAGGACACGGCAGAGACAAGGTGGTAAGGTCACATGCGGTAGCCCCAGTGGCCCCCCAGGCCGAGAAGGCAACGTGCTGGGGCTCATCTACACTTCTCTGCAACCTCTCTTTGAAGACATATGTTTTCTTTTGATTGCCAAAGCAATAGAAATTAACTGCCCAAAATTCAGGGAAAAAAATGAAAAGGACCAAAAACAAGAAGGAAGAGCACCCCCGGAGCCAGAGCACCCAGAAAAAATACTTGAGCATTTGGGTATAAGCTTTCCCACTTTTTAAATTTTCTGCCTATTGCTCACAGGCCCCCCTCCCCACACACTGGGATCCACGCAGTAGGGTAACATCTTTTTTCTCATTTGGCAGCAAGTTTTGAACATTTTCGATGACCTGATTCTTACATCAGGACTCACAAATTCAAATGCTGGCAGGAGCCAGGCAAGTAGCATAAATAAGCTGCATGCAGCCAGGCAGACGGAGTAGGTCACGCCTGGAGAAGGGGTGCCGCCCGCGTCCCCTCTCGTCAGGCCCAGCTAACGCTGCCCTTAAGGAATGTGGGCCTAAAGTCACCAGACACTCTTGTTTTTTAAAACAAGGGTCAGGAATTCAGATTTTTTAATGTGAACTCTCCCAATGTCAAAATGTGCCATTTCTGACTTAACCTTCTCTTTGAAGGGCATCTGGTTTTTATTTTCTCTTGGTTTTTTAATACTATAAACCTGAGGTCAACATCTTTACAGATAACTTTTTGTTTGCAATCTGATTATCTCCTTAAGATAATTCCCAGGTAAAGAATTAAAGGGTTTGCCTATTTTAAAGAAATTTAGGCATTTTGCCAGAATGCTGTCTAGAACGTTCATGAAAAGCCTTCAGAATATGAATGTGTTTTCTCTTGTGTCTTTGCTAATTCGATGGTCAACAATACAGTGTCTTATTGTTTTATTGCATTGACATCAATGCTGTAGAAATGGAATCATAACATAGGGTTTTCCCAACCTGCTTTAGTCCATCAGTTATGTATTCAAGAAGTTAAACATCTACTGTGTATAAGGCATTGTTCTGTGTGCTGTGGGAGATACAAAGTTTTATTTCTCATTCCTTGTGTGCTTGTCCTTTCTGCTCCCCGCCCCCTTCTCAAACAAATCACAAACTCCTCAAGGGCGCCGGACGGTGGGTGTCTTACTCATCTTTATTGTAATCCCAGTAGCACCTACTGTATTCTTGACTGGTACTGTCTTTGAGATGGGTGAGTTTTATCACTTTACTTGGCTTTAAACAAAGACATAGTTTCTTTCAATCACCTGCTAATTTGTCTACCTGGATTTTCATGTATCAGTCTGGCCATAAGTACCTTTATTAGTACTCAGTCAATATTTGAAAGTGACAGTGACTGCCAGCTCACTTGTCATATGTAATGTGCCTGGTATTCGAAAGGGAAAAGAGAATGTTGGGATAAATTAAAGTGCATGTAAGATGGTAAAAAAAAAAATCTCTTTTTTCTGAACATGAGGGAATTAAGCATCACAAATCCATCATAGGTTAATTTTCTTGAGTCGAGACAGTTGAGTCTATCACATTACATGAAATAAATTATGTAATACACAATAATCACATAAATATTACATAACACATAATAACTGCATACAGCAAAATGCTTTATATAACCAAGCGATTCCCATTTCCTGAGTGGAAGTCAGCAGGGTGCTTTATGAACCAGAAATACAAATACATGTTCTAGGTCAGAGAGAATATACCTCCAAGCAGAGACGACAACGAACTCTCAAGTTTTTAGAGGCAGTGATTCAGTAGCGGACGTGGACAAACTGCGGGACAAGAGCCTGAGCCCGCTGTGCACAGGGCTTTCTGCTCTGCCCGGCGGCAGTGAGGAAGACCCCCCTCGTGACAATGTTCAGAGGATTAAAGGGGCTCCTGTATTTCACTCATCCAAGATGTCTCGTTTTGGAACATTTCAACATCTCGGAAATAGGGATGTGCCTTTAAATTGTCAGCATCTGGATTCTGCCTTCGGCCTCAGGGCACTTGGAAGCCGATTCCTGCCTGATGGTGAGGTAGTAGCTCAGCTGACACCTTGATTTCAGCCTTGGAATAAACACCCTAGCAGGGAACCTGATCAACGCCTCCAGACTGCCAGCCTGCCAGACAGGGAGATGGTAAGTGAGGGTTGCCTACGCTGGTACGTCTGTGGCGCTTGGGGAAGCAGCAATGGAAAACACGTACACCTGGGCTCCCGCTTCAAGTGAACGAGGCCAACAGGCATCAAGCTGGCCCCAGAGATTCAGCGCTCCCCCTCTCAGGGGCTTGCACACACCAGCTGTAAACCTTGGGAGGTGGGTCCGGGTCTAATTTGCTCATTCTTGTAGCATAGCACCTAGTTTCAGGTACGTATACATACCAATTGAGTATTTGAAATTTCTGTGAGCAAACACTTATCTACCAAGATATTTATCCCAGTAATAGCGGTAGAACACCACAGAAACTATCAAAGAATAGGCAATATTAACTATTAGTATATCTATAAGGTCAACTACTATGCTTTTAGCTAGTGGTGTTAAGAACAACTTAATGGCAGGAAATTATTCGTAACATCTTATTGATAGCTTAAAAAATGGAAATGCGCACATACATACGCACATAGAAAAAACTTAAAAAGTGGTATCTCGTTATGTAAAAGGTGGTTGTCTCTGAGGAGTAAGGTTGTGGGCACTTAGAGCTTCTTCTAATTTGAGGGGAAAGGGTTGCCTTCAAAAATTTGTGCTGTAAATATGTACGAATTCTGTTACCAGGGAAAATAATTATCCCAGGAGACAGGCAGAAACGGAGGGAGGGATTCATCCCAGAAAGCAGAGAGGCGGCCTCACCTTGAGCGCCTCGGCACCACTTTCCTGAGCACTGCTAGGCTGCTCTTCGATTTTCTTTTGGAGGTGGAGAACCTGCCCCTCCAGGAACCTACTGATCCCTTCGTAGTATAGAGCTGTCGGGGTTCTTCTTGGCACTAGATTTTTGACTGTATCGGAAAATTCATGAAAGTAGTTCCATTCCTGGAGTCTGGCATACCTGCACCGCGACAGAAGAGTGAGAACCCTCAGCATCTCCCCTGGGGTGGGCTGCCCCTCCCCAGCGGTCCCTGCGGAGGGGTTGCCCCTAGCACTGGGCCTCTGGAAGCCGGCCGCCTGCCCACCCTGAGGAAATCATGTGCTCTGGAGCAAGGAAAGAATAGGATTTTTTTTCGTGATTTGAGATGAATAGAATCCTTGGAAATGCTCGGTAATATTAGCCACCATTTACTTAACTCACTGGACACATTAAAAAGTGAAGATCAGGTATTTGGATCTATACATTCTAGGGCTGGAAGGAACGGCTCCAGGTCCAGAGAGACAGTCCAGGCTGGTACTGATGGGAGTGCGGGTCCCAGACCAGGACCAGCCGTGTCCCCTGGGGGCCCCCTTAGGGACGCACCCTCTCCAGTCCAGTCCAGCTCAGGAGAATCAGACAGACTGGGGATGGGCACCCAGAGCAGAGAGAAGCCCTGGGTGAGGGCACGGCTGTCGGAAGCCCTCTCCGGGTAAAATGGGGGAAAGAAATGAGGATGACTTCTGGGCTCTGTTCCCTGACGTTTAACTCACACGGGCAAGTTAATTTGACCTTAACCTGTAATTTCTTTGGACTTTGGCAGAGGTAATGAACTTTTGGGTTTTAATTTCTCCCAAGGGATCCATAACAAGAGGATTTCTGTTCAAGTTTGGAACTGCCCCTAGTTTGTGGCCCTATGTCGAGAACGCCTTCCTACTGACGTTCTTCATGAAGAATGTCACTCAATCCCATCACCAGGCCTCTAAACACTGGAGGACGTGGCTGCTGTGTGACCTGACATGGGGAACCGGGCAGGGAGTGACCCCCCTGGGGCCGCGGCTCTGGAGCGACTTTAATGCTCTGGAGCCAGACGGTGGACGCAGTGGCCTGGAGCGGGGCGGCAGCTGCAGGTTCACCGGGTGAATCCCGGTGGGTTACGGTTACGCCTCGGGCTGGGCGGGGGCACCTTCCCGCTCAGGCCTGGGGTCCCGCGGGGGGCGGGAGCCGCACGGGGCGGAGCAGCGCCCCTGCCCGGCCGCGCCTTCCGGCGGGAGGAGCCACGAGGTGGGAGGTCCGGCGCCGGGAGCGCAGGTGGAGCTCGGCAGGTGGAGCTCGGCACCCGGCGCGTGGCCGGCCCGAGCCCAGAGGCCCGCGGGGCGCCGCGCTTCTCTGCCCTGCCTGGGAGGGGGCCGCCTCGGTGGGCGACCCGCCGTTCCCAGAACGACCTGCTGCTGGGGGGTAAGTCTGTTCCTGGGGCGCAGCGTCAGGAAGCCCACTTGCCTGCAGATAGAGGCCACGTCCTGCAACGTCGGCCCTATCACAGCGCTTCGGTATAATTCGATGGGGCGGGGGTGCTGCTTACTCCCCTCCCGCAAAGCCCTGTGCTCCCTGAAGCAAGGACCCTCCCCTTCCGCGCCCTGGGTTGGGGTTTGAGTGTGAATCCACTCTGATGCTTTCACCCTGTCTCGGGATAAACTAGAAATACTATTTTTTTTCTTAAGGCTCAGAGAACTCTTCTTTAGGATTCAATAGTTTCAAATCCGGGGTTTTAGTGATATGCAACATACTGTTACCAGATAGCTACACAGGAGTAGAGCCCCAGGAGGATTCCACTTTGTAACCTGAGGATTCTGTTGTCTTCGTTTTGTTTTATGAAATCCAAACATTCTTCAAATGGCCTATAAACAAAGCCTAAAAGAAGAGAGAAACAGGAGAGCTTTACTGGTAGGCGAGGGGGCTCATCTTTCTGGCCAAGTAGTTCCCAGAATTTCCCACTGCAGGGCGAGGCCTCAGTCTCTCTAATAACTAAGAGTTCGTGCCAGTGCCTGGAGCTCATCCCTGAGCAATGCCATTCTAAGTATATCCTGCTAAAATCGAAATGCCCTAGAAAAAGGGACATGGCAAGACTGTCAGTCACTGTCACTGGTGTGTAAACCCACCTGACATTTCAACTATCCGGACTAAATTCCCCTCCTTGCTGGTAACGTGCAATCCCTGCACCTTCTAGAAGGGGTCTCAGCCCACAACCCCAGGCACTCCCTCACCTGTTCTGTGTCTCTGCAGCCAGAGACCTAGTGGTCTCCAAGCCCCCGCCCTGGCGGCTGTCACCCCAACCCAGGCATCGAACCCCAGGCTCTTGTCAGTTTCAGAACTGCGCTTACCAGAATAAAGCATGATGTCCAGGCAGACAAAATAAAAAAATGCCTTGCTTAAGATGTGCTCCTCCGCCACAGAGAGGTCCCACAGCCGCCCCAGCACCTGGACCAGCTGCTTATGTCTGTGGACAAGAGAGGGCGGCAGGACAAAAGTGGGGAGCAGGGACGGAGGTCACTCCTGGTCCAAGCTCGGTCTGCCGGTGACCCTGGACGAACTGCAGCCCTTGGGCCCGCACGTCCGTGCCGGGGTCTCAGATTGGCCCTGTTCAAGCTGCTTTTCCACAGACCTGTGTCAGGGTGACCCAAGTAGGCCAGGATGGCCTGGCCTGTGGTCTTCGGTGCTCTTCCGGGGGCACTGCCTCTGCTCTGAGACGTTTCTCTTTCCCCCCACCTGGCAGTGATGGAGGCCTGGTTCCCACAGGGGGCAGATGGACTCTCCTCCGGTCACTGGCCAGAGCAGCCAGACTGGAGAGGGTGCTCGTGGAGGAACCCCAGAAAGAGCAGCAGCCGCAGACGGCGGTGATCAGTCACCCCACCCTACCCAAGACCTGCTGCCTCCCCAGCCCGTGCCTGGGGTAAAGGGAGCCCGAACACCAATGCCTGTGGCCTCCCCCTAATTCGAGGTAACACTTGCAGATAAATACCTGCTTTTCAAGAAGAGAGATTTGCTGAGCCAGCAGAGGACCATGTAGCACTCGTTGGGATTTCGGAGCAGGGCGCACAACTTGTGGGCTCGAGAGCCTGGGAAGAAAAACACTCCAGTGTACTTCTGGGTGTGCCTTGTATCTCCGAGTCCCTTCTTGCCCAGCTGGCCCCTACCTAAGTCGATGGCCAGGTCCAGGTAGCCCATCATAAACTTGATATAACTCAGCGTGTAGGCCGCGTATGTGATGATCTCAATGCCCTCGCCTTTCAGGGGAAGGTTGAAGAGCTGCTCCACGGCCAGGACTTCGTACTTGAACCACACGCCCTCGTAGCCGGCCAGCTGGTGGTGCAGCGAATAGTCCAGGTAGGCCTTAACGATCTGCAATGGCAGCAGTGGGGAAGAGAATGCGCCGGACTGAAGGGGGGCCCGAAGCAGAAAGCCCAGAGGCAGCCCCCGTTGTCTGCCAGGGACCATGTGTTTATTAAGCTGGGGAACGGAGCTGGTCGTTTATACCGTGGGCTCAGTACAGAATTAGGTTGGGTTTCTGCCGCCTGTCTTCTGGACAGGCTCAAAGGCCCCTCTTGCCCACACAGTCCTTAAACAGAATATAAGCATTTTCGTTGTTTGTGAAAAATGCAAGCAGTAGCTTGTTAGGCATATGATTGCATAGGAAGAGTTGGAAGGATTCCCTCCAAAGGGTAAGTAGCGACCTATTTGCTGGGTCGGATGAGAGACCTGAGGGGAAGAGGGGCTTTGCTTTTCACTGTTTACTGTGTCTTAAGCAGCGCATCCTGCTTTTGTTATGCAACAGAAAGTGAGGTTTGGTTTTGCTTATTTGCTTTAAGAAAATGTAAGGACTACTTCTAGACTTGAAAGATTGAAGAGAAATTGGTCAGTCTTTAAACAACTCTTTCAAATGATAGTTCAAGTGGCTCCAGAATAGAAATGCTTAGAGAGGGTGAAGAGAAAGTGGTCCCTGCTAAGGAAGCCCCCTCGCTGGGCGAGGCGCGCCATCGGCGGGTGGGAGGGGGGCGCATTCTGCAGAAGAGCGCTTTTTGCTGGAATTCCTCCCATCACGCAGTCTCAGGGAATCCTTTATTGCTGATCCAGCACAACTGGGATAATGCAGCCAGAGCGAAGGATGGTGGGAATGGGGTGAGGACTGCTGGGCAAATGGAAACTCGACGCTGCAGTGAAGCCGGGGCTTCTTGGACGGGGACCCAGAAACTGAACCCAACTGCTTCACTTTACGGGCAGGTACAAAGCCTGGAGGCCGTGCAGCTGGCCAGGGGTCACACCGCGGATAGATGTCACCATGACACCCCTCTCTCAGGCTGTTCTGGTTCTCCCTGTCATCTTGTGCTGGGCGGCTCGTCTGCCTCTGAACACCGGGGGCCGGTGGCATCTTTTGATCACTTTCCAGTCAGAACCTGCCGCTTTTGCCCCTGCTGCACCCCGGCCCTGCCAGCTCCTCCACATTTATGGGAAACAGTCCCGAGTGTGGAGGAGAAGTCAGGCATTTCATTCAAGAAATACTTTGTTAGCACCTGCTCTGTGCCAGGCAGCGTTCTAGGAGATCAGAGTGTGAACGAGGTAGCTCTTGTGGCGTCTACAGGTGTCTGAGCAGGGGGCTCAGGCCACACACTAACGAAGGAGCAAAGGGAAAACTACCTGGTGGTGATAAGAGTTACCCAGGTATGGTGACAGGCATCGGTGGTCAAGAACAGTCCCACAGAGGATGTGTCCTTTACTCTCTGGCAAGCAGAGAGCCCAGGAGAGGTCAGGGGATGAACACTCCAGGCAGACTTCAGAAATACCGAGGTGTCGTGGTCTCCTGGAAGGAACTACTGCTAAAGACAGACTCCTGGCCAGGAACCTGGGCGTCTGCATTTCGATGCAGAAGAGTCATTCACGCTACTGCCAGTTTCCTATAGCAAACAGCTGCACAGTAGCCCAAAGCCAGTAAGGGCAGCAATAACCTTGACGGGCAAGCTGGACAGGACATCCACTCAGTCGTGTTGTTTTGGCTTGGTCTGGCTTTTCTGACTTTTTTGACTGGACACCTGGCTGGGAATTTCAGCTTTGCCAACATTCGCAGTGGTATCTGGCTGTTTCCCTTGATTCTCGATAACGACCCCAAGAAAAAATTACTGCCCCTGAAGAAACTCAGGCTTGATATACTTTTATAAAGGAATCAGGTCATTTTCATTAGATGAGTTGAATTTAGCTTAATTTCTTGAGCTTGTCTCAAGTTCTTCTCATCTAATCGAAAACTTCCCAGTTTATGGTCTAAACTAGTGGCTGTCCCAGTAGGGTTCCAGGACCCCTAGAGGTCCCTGAGACCCTTAGGGAGCACGCAGAGAAGTCCAAGCTGGCATCATTATCAAGACGTTCTTTGTATCAGGAAAAATGGCGAAAGACCTTGAAGTGGGCCGAAACACCCACCTTAGCAGGTGTCCTGTCCAGCACACTCATCAAGGTTATCTCTGCCTGTCATTGTCTCATTGTCAGGGCTATTTTACAACTCTGTGCTGCAGCAAATGCTCATAATGTAAATGATTCTTTTTCATAGAAATGCAAAAGTTCTTTGAAGTTCGAGAGACTAGACTAGTTTTGCATCCATTCATAAATGAACTGCCCTGGGAACTGGATCTGACATCTCACCAGGTCTCTCCTTCATTAATGAATTCAGTATGACCTTTATCCTGTGCTCTCTCTATATTGTATTGAGTCATCCTGTTAGCATTTTTAAAAGAATTATCCTTTAAGGTTTTCCTTTTTCACACTCATTCTCTCACGGGTATATAGCGGAGTTCTCTGGGGGCCATGTGTGGTACTGCGACAGGGCAAAGGTACGGTGGGGGAGAATGTAGCTGTCTTCTAGGAACCCAGGCAGTAAGATATTTGCAAACATATAACACATGCCACTCTTCTCATCAAGGTTTTTGTTTGGGGAAATACAGGGTTTTTTTCATCAGTAAAACTGTTAATATGTTGCTATGTAATGGGTTTATTATTTTTTATTTAAAAATATTTGTATCAAATATTTTATAATTTAATAGCATTTTATAATTTTATAATATTAAATATTTAATATTTTAACAAAAAATTTCAATAACGTATTTTTAAAATAGCTATTTTTGTTATATGACACCATCGATAGATACAGCCCATAGCGATAGAGGCTTTGAGGTCCTCGGTGACTAGTAAGAGTGTGAGTGACGCTGGGGCCAAAATGTTGAAGAACTGCTGGCCTTGGCAAAACCTGCCGGCCAGGAAGGCTGTCAGTGCGTCCTCGCGGTTTCGAATCCCCACCGGCGCTCACGGGCCTACCTGGAAGTCATCCTGAGACTCCAGTGCGGTATTCACCTGCATCATAGCCGCCAGGTGGCCGTAATGCTTGTAGTTGAAGAAGTCCTTTAAGCTGTAGATCTGCCACAGCAAAGAGAGGCAGGCAGTTTGCTGGCACAGCTGAGCCAGCCTCTTCTTCCTGCCCGAGAGAGGAACACAGGGGGCAGGAAGGTGGTCTTAGCAGCAGCTTTCTCGTGGGGCCCCGGGCGCAGGTGCGGCGTCCTCACTGCAGGCTCAGGGGTCAAAGCAGACTTGAGTCTGAGGCCTGCCTCCTTCACAAGTCAGGAAAGCACATGCACGTTAATTTGTGTGAAGCACATTTTTTCTCCTGCAAGATGGGGGCCGTCATACCCACTTAGTGATGATTAATTATAATTTATGTAAATCCCCTGTCCTGTCAGTTCATTGCTATTTAAAAAGAAATTCTTTAAAAAGCACATTTAGTTGAGTCACTATATTGCACACCTGAAATTAATATGTCAACTATACTTGAGTAAATTTTTAATTAAGTAAAAAGCATATTTATATCATTCACCAATTTGATTCAGATGACAGTCCTATAAAAGGAAGGAAGGAATAATTAACTCTATTTTACACCAGCAGAAGGTGAGACTCAGACAGGCTGAGTAATTAACCGCACAGAGAGCTGGGAGCCCAGCCCGTCTGTCTGCAGCCTGGCCCGGCAGCATGTTTCCTCCAGTGTGTACCGCTGCCAGAGCCAGGTCTCAGCCCCACCAAGGAAACTATGGTCTGAATGCATCCTCTCAAAATCCACATGTTGACTCCTAACCCCAGGAGATAGGGCCTTTGGGAGGCGAGCAGGTCACCGGTGGAGCCATCCTGAAAGGGATTAATGCCCTTATTAAAGACACCCAACAGAGCCCCCACCCTTTTCCACCATATAAGGACCCAAGGGGAACCTGTGTCCCTGGGACGGTCCTCGCCAGCCATGCTGGCACTCTGACCACAGACTTCCAGCCTCCAGAACTGTGGGCAGTAAGCTTCTGCCATTTATAAGCTGGCCAGTCTGTAGCATTTTGTCACAGCAGCCCAAACACACGAAGACACAGCCCAGCGATGGGACGGACTGTCGCAGGACTTGGGGAACCTCCGGTGATGAGGTGCCCGGAGGAAGGACGGGTAACCACCTGCCAGAATGTCTGGGTCTTAGTCCCGGCTTCAACAAGCCATTTAACTGATAGTCTAGCCCCAAGTCCCCTCTATCTGTGACAAACGTGGGAACCTAAACAAAATGGCTACAATACTAGTAATTTAACAAAACCAGGAAAAAAATATATAAATAGGAATATTTGTCAAAAAGCAGATTTTAAGTCAAGATGAGAAAGAAGGAAGAGGGAATATCCTATCCTAGAGATTCTTCCAGAAGAATTCCAGGTACTTCCAGTTTAGACACAGATGACATCGATTTTCTTGTGGAAATTATTTTTTAAAGGTTCTAAGGAGACACAGGATAAACCCCTTATAACAGAGGGTGTTCACAATGGCCACAGAAACTGATGTTACACGTCTCTTGTCTCATTCTTGGATCAGAACCTTTGGAGAGTATTTTTAGCCCACAGCTCGGTGGTTTCTTCCACATCAGCGCTCCCCACCCTTTCTCTTGTGCAGATAGTTCTAATTCCTTCTACAAAATGTGGCTGTAGTTCAGGGCGGTCAGATTTAGGAAATGAAAATATGGGATTCCCAGTTAAATCTGAATTTCAAAGCAATGAATCCTAAATTTTTTGTGTGACATATATATACTAAAAAAGGATTAATTGCCTATCTGAACTTTACATTTAACTAGGCATCCTGTATTTCACCTGCAGTCTCTATGTCACCCGACTCCAATCCTCCGACCTCTTGGAAGGGGCTCTGCTGAACCCCTCCCTGCCCCCGGCCCCAGGCAGCAGGCACAGATTCCCAGGGCCCTGCCCTGACCTGACCTGGGTCTCAGCTCCACCTCATTTCCCCCAAGGCTTCCCGGGATGGAAGACATGTCCTGTCAGTTCTCTAGATCCCCAGTGACGTGGCAATTCCCTGGAACTGCTGAATAGGTGGAGTGTTCAAAAGCTTTTATTGTGTAAAAGTTCAAGCAATCACACAATAAAGCAGATGATATAATGAGCCTCGTGCACCTGACACTCAGCTCCGACACGCATCCACACTCCGGGTTCATCTCTCCCGCTACTCGCTCTTTCCCCTGCCCCCCTGCCCCATTATTCTTATTTATAATTCTTTCTGGATAAAATGTACACGCACCAACATGGACAGTCTGAACGGTACCGTCCTGGCTGATGGCTACCCCGTAACCTGGCCCATGTCTCCATCAGACCCAGGCAGGTGGGCCTTTCTGTCCTCTGGCAAGTGTCTTCAGGGCCTGCTCTTCCTCTTTGGGGTAGGGACAATACCCAGTGTCCCCAGGAGGGAGCAGGGCTCTGTCAGAGCCCCCTGCCAGGGGCTTGTGGGGAGAGCCGGCTGGGGAGGGACCGGCGCTCCCTTGCTGAGGCTCCTGTGTGCTGGTGTCGCCCAGGTCCGTGCGGCCCAGGCCTGGGGCTGATGGGGGGAGCATGTGGGCTGCCGCCTCTGAGTGGGGGGGACGTCCAGCTCCCTGTGCCCCTTCCCTTACCCTGGCAGCAGGCTCTTGTGCGCCGGCTGACTCATGTAACGGAAGTGTCGATTTTTCTCCACGTGGGTCTGGAGAAATAGGGATATTAGGTTGCAAGGGAAGATTCGGTTGAGCAGCCTCAGCGCCTTCCTCAGCATCTTCTCGGCGAGCACCATCTGGCCCTCGGAGAAACAGACCTGCAGGGGGCGGGGAGGAGAGGGAGCAAAGAGGCGGGGGGTCTGGACTGTGTGTGCGTCCCGACAGTGCAGGTGCTGGGGCTCCTGTCAGGGCAGTGACGGAGGGCCCAGTATGACACCCGCCCCATGCCTGGTGTGAGAGTAGGTGTTTACTGGATATACGCTTGGAAGGCAGGTTGATTATTAGGCTTATTAAGCATCTTCATTGCATATATAGCCAACCTTGGAGGAAATGTTTACCCATGCATGTCCATTTTTGGAGGTTGTTAGAAACATATTTCATAAAGATGTCCAGTGGGAGGATGGGGAAGATCTTGCTGCTGATGTGTGATGGTGGCAAAGGCTTGGACCAGGCCAGGGCTTGGGGCTCTGGAGTCTCAGAACGGACCTGAGGCTGAGCATGGGAGGACACGGAGAGGCGGGGGGTGGCTTCTCCTTGTGCTGTGCAAGTTATAAGCGATAAATAACACGTTTCAAGCGGTTCTTACCTGGCCTTTGAAGCTATATAACGTAGCTGACTCAAAAGTCTGACTGCAGGAGTTCTCCTTCTTGAGCATCTTGAGCAGCCTCTCTCCCTCGTTCAGATACACGTACACCTGGAAGCAGCGCAAGGGGGGCACAGTGTTGGGTGGGCAGGACCCGGCCGGCAGTGCAGCGCTGCCCAGACCCCCGGAGGAGGAGTGGGCGCTGTAGGCCCCGCCTCCACACTGCCCCATGCTCCATTAGACAGGCTCCGACCTCTGGGCCGGACCCAGGTGGGCACGGCTCCCTCTGAGGGACAGGCCACCTGCATGCCCATCTTTGCTGTATCCCTTGTTCTAGAGGAAGAATCTGGAAAGCAACCCCTTTCCTAATGTTGCCACATAAGTCGTGTTACCTGCAGTCTCCCCCTTTCGGCGACTCCATCCCCAATCCCTACTTCCAGGGCACACCCACCTGAGCAGCCCCACATCTCAGAGCAGCCAGCCCCTACTTTTGGAACAAGTTGGGAACCCCCTTTGCCGGGGCCATCGCCGGCAGGCAGGAGAGGAGGGTAAGGCTCTGAGCAGCGCCCACTTCATCCTCGACCTCCTCTGACATCGTCAGACGGTGTTGGGGGTCTTGGCGCATGAGAGGCCGAGGCAAGGCCGGACGTGAAGGGGAGAAGGTGAGGCGGTGCTGCCCTGGCTTATGCAGCCCGTGTGCTGTGAGTACTGGGCATGAGGGAGACGTCGGTTGGCCACCAGCCCAGACTCTCTTTGATGGGAGAGGGGTTGCAAATGGCCTGTCCTGGGGCCTTGCACGTGGGCTCTGCTTGCAGCCCTGTCTTCCTGGCCGTCCCAGCTCCCTGAGGGGTGAAGTGGGGGCGTGTGCAGCTTCAGCATTTGGCACCTAGGGCTACCCGAACCTTCTCTTCCTGGGACTCACAGACCCTCCTCCCGACACATGCATATACAACATGAGTAGGTGACTTGCATTCGTAACGTAAATACTTGAGAAGACTGGGGCTTTTTTGCAAAGACAGATGCAATTTTTAACAGGTTAGTTTTTAAATTGTGTATGACTCTCCGGTGTGAGGGTTTGCTGAGGCGGCTGTGAGAGCAGCAGCTGGAGATAGGGAACGGATCACCGCTGGGGGCACGGACTGCGCGTGGCTCCTCAGGTGTGTGAAAGTTCCTGAAGCCTGCTGGAGGCAGGTGAAGCGAACGCGGAGAGGCGTTTCCTCAAGGGAGGTCAAGGAGGGTCAGTCCAGCAACTGCTCTACGAAAAGTGACCTAAGGTCACATAAGTTTGAGAAACGCAGTACGCTGTGCCCTAGCCTGATTCTCAGGGAGGTTTGCGTGGATCTTAGTGTATTAAGGCCCTGAAATCTCTGCAAGTAAAAAAGCCTATTTAGCTTTGTGCAACTGAGCGTTTCCCACTTACTCAATGGTGAATTAGTGTCGCTTTGTTATATGCATCGAATCCCCGTCTGCCCAAGGACACAGTGTCCTGGAATCTTGGTTGCGGTGATCCCGGAGAGACACTCACTGGTGCTCTGTGGTCTAAAGGTATGTATGATGATTTAGCACGGATTACATGGAGGCAGAGTTCCTGAGCCTCTGAGGATGAGCAGCATCAGAGCCAGGCGGGTCCTTCTCCAGACCCACAGGCGTTTGCATTCACAGATGTTCGGGCAAATGCCGCCAGGACACTGAGAAAGCCCCTCCCGGAACTGACGCGTTCATCCCAAGAGTCCTCTTTGCACCATTTTGGGAATGAGATGTGACAGTCCCCCCACGTAGGTAGGCAGCTCACATCAAGTTTCTACAGGTGGCGATATTTTAAATGATGCTAGTTGCCAAGTGTTCTTTCTTTTCTCAATCTCAGGTCATTTCCCTTCCGAGCAATTTGATTTTCAAAGGGAAGGGGTGCTGGCGGGAATTGAGAACCCAAAGGAATAAAAAAGCACAGAGAGCTTCCCTTCTGGCTCTGTGTCTGTGAGTTGGCCTGTTTAGGGGAGAGGGGGGCTGGGCAGAGATGCTTACCATGTAATTATCACCCAGGGTGAGATAAGCAGACACAATTTCTAGGAAGTAATACAAGGCTTTGTTGTTTTCTCCCAAAGCCAGAAAGTGGTAGGCCAGAGGCCTGAAGACAGTCTCCAGGATCTCCTCGCACCGGCAGGGCTCCAGAGGGACGAGGTCCCTCTCAGGGGTCTTCATTTTTGCTATAATGGTGTCAAAGAAGTTCAGAATCTTTTCCCTTATTTCTTCAGGACTGTCCAAATGCAGAAACAGATAGGAATAATAGTTGGTAAACAGAGTGTAGCTTTTGATATGAAAATATCTTTAAAAACTAATAAAGAGCAAGATAATAAAACCTGCTGTAGAAGCTACGGACAGAGCCCACAGGTCCACCCCCACCCCCACCTGTTATCTCAGACGCCCCAAGTCCTGACCAAACGAGTCTAACCGTGTTCTGAATCAGGTGACGGTGTGTATGTTCTGTCTCCTAGACAATTATATACGCCTGTACCTGAGATTTTCAGGAAATATCTTCTCAGATCTCTTAGGAATCTGTGTTTTGGAGAAGGTGGTCTCTTCTTCAGCTAGAAAACAAACAGATGAGTTGTGGGGGTCACTGGAATGTTCCACGTGGCACAGAAGCCTCGTGTCCACCAGAGGGACTTGTTCCGCTCTCAGGACACAGTAACTGTGGTCCGGGATGTTCAGCCTAGGGGGAGCCACGTGATCAGTTAAATGGCATTAGGTCAGAGGCAATACATGGCACCTCTGAGCTTGGGTGGTTAGGAATCTTCTCCATCCTCTCCTTCCACCAGAAAACAAATGATTGTGAGGATCTAAGGTATAGACCTCAAAATGGAGGCAGCCTGGGTCCCTGACTTACTGTGTGCAAGGCCGCTTGTCATTACATGTGTAGGAGAGAAACTGTCTATTCTGGTAAGCCCTGAAATGGGGGTTCATTAGAGATGGCAACATCGTCCCCCGCCCACTCACCCTGCCACAATGAAACTAGAGATTCACGATCCCAAGGAAAGTGATGTCCGTTTCTATTGGAGAAATACAGACATTTAAATGTAATGCCCCAAAGGCTCACTAAAGGGCAGAGAACCTTGAATTTTAAAACTTCCGTCTATCCAGATTTCAATAGGCTCGAAAATTCCTTAATCATCTCAGGACGGAAGGCAGGTGAGGACTGTAACCTGGCCGCCTCCGTGGAGGAGGAGGAATCCAGGGGGGACGGACCTGCCCCCGACGGCCGGCCAGGCGGTGGGAGGACGGGAGCCTAGGTCTTCTGGCTCTGAGGCGAGTGCGTTAGCCTTTGGAGCTTTCAGTTTCCAAAGATGTGCCCTAAGCACCTTCTTCTGAACGCCTCCTGGGCCCTGTCCCCGTGGAATCAGTGCCCGACTCCGGACCGGCCCTCAGCCCCTGTGCCGACCTCTGTCGTCCATCTCACGCTGTGTGAGTGTGAACTTGCCCGCCTCCCCTAGACCCCACGGGGTCTCCCCAGCGGCCAGAAGCTGAATGAACTGAATTACGTCCTCTTCCTCCTCCGCCTCTAAAACTGCTCTTGTCTGTGTCCCCAGTGGCCACCGTGTTACCGGTCCCACAGGTTACACTTCGTCCCCATCTTACCACACCTCTCAGTGGCCTTTAGTGTGACCGGCCACTCCCCCCTTTGCCCAGCTCGGAAGCGCCATCCCTGGTCCCCTCCCCGGTCCCCTCCCTCACGGGGCCTGCCCCTGCGTCCCAGGTGTGGTAAGCCTCAGTTCGGTCTGGGGTCCCTGCTCTATCCAAACTTCTCCCTAGATAATTTCACCTGCCCATGAGTTTAAATTCCATTTATATGTCGGAGCTTTCGGCTTTATATAGCTAAGCCCAGGTATCCACCCTTCACTACAGATTCATCTGCCAAAATGCCTCCGTGGCGACTGACACGGGGCGCCTACTGGGCATTTACAAACAAACGTGATCCAGACCTAACCCTTGAGTCTCTTTTCCATAAACCTGTCCGCCTACAGTTTTCCTGTCTCAGGAAGCATCTGCACCGTATAAAGACATGGATCCCACACGGTCGGGAACAGCCCCTTGCCTTTCCCTTGTCCCTGTCAGCCGGCTGGGCACACACCCCCTGCAGCTCTCCCCCACCGGCCCTGCCGCACCTGTGCTGTTCTGGCCGTCCACCATCCGCCGATGCTCCTGTCCTTCCGAAAAGCTGTTGCTGAGTTCTGCTCTGTCCTAAGGGTCTAGGATGCAGTACTTGGATTGCAGCATCCCTTGTTTATTGGTGCTCGGCACAGATTTCAAGTTCAACATCATGTTACCCACATACTACTTGCACAATAACAATAATAAAATATCTGGTTTTGGAAAAATCAGTGCATGAGGGGAAATGTAATAACCCTCGACTCAGCTGCTCGTACGTCCCCTGACATCTTCCCTGCCCCGCTGGGGTGGGACTGCTGCTCAGGTCCTGTCATTCTGTGCCCAAGCCCTCAGGGGACTTGGGCCCTCGTGGTCCAAAGCCTGGTCTTAGTTCTTAGGAGGGGAGCCTGGCCAGCGTCGGAACAGGCGTAGTAAGGACAGGCTCGCACCGCAGTGTGTAGCTGTTTGTTTGTTTTTGATCAAGTATCAGAACACAGTTGAAAGGGAATCACTTTCCTCACTGATTCGTACCGAATTCTGTGTCCATGCATCTCTTCCAGACCCCACAGCCTGTATCAGCTAAAAGTCAACCCTGCACTTGGGGAAGCTCGGGGAGTGAGCACAGCCTGAGCTTGGGAATCATATCCACTCGGCTTTTGAGTAAAATCTGCTACTCGTTTTGTGTGGTTGGACAAGCTCTTTAGTCTTCTGCCAGAAACTCAATTTTCTTGTGTGTGAGAAGAAAATAATGCTCCACCATGGAGGGTTGATATGAAGATCAAATGAGTATGCATATAGAATAGAGAATAAGTATTTATTTTGTACCTACTATGTGCTAGGCCCTTTCCTTACATTCCTTCCTGGTTTTGAATACCCTTATCCTCTACCTGTAGCCTCTGCTGTCCCTGCCAGGGCCTTTGGCCAGGGCAGGCAGCCCACTGGGTGCTCCGTGGCCGCCTGTGAGTGAGCGCAGGGGCTGGTGGTGTTAAAGGCACGTCTTTGTCTTTGTCCCCATCTTACCACACCTCTCAGTGGCCTTTAGTGTGACCGGCCACTCCCCCCTTTGCCCAGCTCGGAAGCGCCATCCCTGGTCCCCTCCCCGGTCCCCTCCCTCACGGTGCCTGCCCCTGCGTCCCAGGTGTGGTAAGCCTCAGTTCGGTCTGGGGTCCCTGCTCTATCCAAACTTCTCCCTAGATAATTTCATCTGCCCATGATGAAATTATGGGCAGGCCTCAGGCCCATCGCGCCTGCAGAGACAGTCCCTGGTCTGCATGCCCCTCGCATCCTCCGCTGTGTGTCCCAGGCCCCGGGGCTCCTTTGTGCTCACAGCTTGTGACTTTTACTTTGGCTTCATGGGTGGTCCTAAGTCCCTGCCCTGAGCCCTGACCCTCTTTTCTGGAGCCTTGACCTGCTTAACCTTGCATGATTCCCTCCCACTTGATCTTTTTCTGCTGGAACCCTGTTTCATAGCAGACACGTTCCTGTCTGCCAAGAGCACCCTCACAGACCTGCTCTGCTCCCCTTCCATCGTGTCGGGCCCCACCCCTTGGACTTCATCCTCCGTGTGAGTTAAGCTGGGTCTGTTTTATCCCTCCAGGTATCTTCATTTGAGCTCTGGTCACAGTCCTTATCCCCAGATCGTCCCTGACAGTCTCGCAGTGAGACTGGTCCTGTTAGACCCGGGCACACACCCTTGCCCTGTGGGCTCACATGGCTCACGTCTCATCATTTGTCACTCCCAAGTCTTGGGGGCCTCGGCACCCTCAAGATCCAGACCCTCTCCTTCCAGGTCTTAGTCTCCACATTCTCCAGGAGCAGTTAGGACTGATTAAAGTAAAGTAAGCTTACTTTGAAATCTGTGGGACTTAGCCATCTCCTTAATGTCCAAAGCATTGAGCCGGGTGTCCACCACAAAGTGGTGAAAGGGAATGAAGTCCCTGCTGCGGCAGCGGTCACACCTGTGTGCGTTTTCCTCTAAGAAGTGGACACATGTCAAGTGCATAGCTCTCTTCTGGTCCTTCAGCCACAGCTCGTAGGCTGTTTGCTGCATCACAGGCCTGCAGAATCGAATGACAAGGCACTCGATCACCTTGCTCTCCAGTTCATGAAGCTCTTCCTGCTCGCGGCAAGCTGGAAGGAACAGAAAGGGTTTTCAGCCAGGCAGTGGGAAACGGCTCTGCTGTACAATACAGATCACTTCTGCAATTTTAGACGTGCCTTTAACTAAGAGGAAACATGGGTCATGCTTCCAGGCTCTGCTTACCCACTCCTTCCCTGGGCTTCAGGCAGCTGGAGCGGTGGTGCACCTCAAACGAGGCCTCATTGTGCTCTAAAGCCGTCCGGAGCTCCTTGCTGCTCCGGAAACAGCCAAAGACACCGGACTTCATGAGACCCGCCAGGGCCTTGGTCATCATCTTCATGTTCCAGCACGGGAGGATCTCCAGCAGCAGCCCCGTGGTGAAGGTCAGGCTGGCTACGGCGGCCACGGCAGCGTACCTCACCAGCATCTGGTGGGAGAAGCTCATGCTATCCAGCTGCACCAGACAGGTTTCTGCAGGGGGAGAGCCGCACAGTGGGGGTGAGTCGTCTGTCTTTACCAGATGCATTCTAGAGGGGGAATCACAGGCCCGCTGCTCTGCGGCTCTTGTGCCCAGAAACCAAGCCGAGCTCAGCCAAAGCCAAGGCTTGCTTAGCACCTCCTTCACAGGAGCACCATGCTGGGAGCAGAGACATGCCAGTGCCGCGGTCTAAAACAACGCATGGCACAATCGCCTGATGAAAAAAAGACCAACTCCAAGGGCCAAGGGTTTGTGAGGAGAGGAGAGGTCCTGGCGGGCCACCGTAGTCAGAAGGACTGGGGCTGGCCGTCTGCATTCCACCTCTGCCCTTCCAGCGGGTCCTTCTCTGTCGTCTTCTCTAGCTACTCCTTCTTCTGGAACTTCCTACCCAGAAGGCTTCTCTCTCTTCCCCCGAGATTAATTTATTCTTGCGACAACCCATTACCATCTCTACACTCACGGAAGTGTCAGAGTTCCTAGTTCCAATCCCATCTTCTCATCTAAGCCCAAGTATAGCTCATGTGGCTTCCTGGACGTCACGACCAGGATTTCCTTCCACTCCATCACCCTCCCCAGGACAAAATTCGAACAGAACACTGTACAAGCCAAGTTAGACCGCCTTCCTACTTGGGTGGACATAGTGAATAAAACCCACATGATGCTGTTTTGAAGACTGATAACCTTGAGGTGTTCCTAGGTCATCCTTCAAAACATGTGAAGTCATTTGTCAATGGCATGACGCTGGTGGAGCTGAATGCATACTAAAACACTGCTTGAGAGTCATTTTTCCTTAAAATAATAATAGTACATCTGATACAACTCCCCTCGTCATTTCTTATAAAAGTAGATGGCAGAAAAAGTTGGAGTATTTGATTTTGTTTTCTCTCATCATTTGGTTTCTGTTCAGTTGAAAATGTCCTACCCCTCCTGCTTTCCTGCAGTTGAACAAAACTTTGTTCAAATCAGACTCCAGCCTATGCGTGGGGGCAAGGCAGCTCCTGATCAGCCGCGGAACAGCCAAGCCTACGGTGGAGACTTCCCACGGCCTCAGGCAGCATGAAAGCCAGCAGAGCCCCAATCTGTTACCGCCTTCCTGTACCCCTTTTTAGGTAGCATCCTCGGGGAAGCAGAGGGGGTCTGGGTCCTGGAAAATGAACGCCGGGCCGAATGTTCTTTACCTTTTAATGATGCTGGTGGTAACAAGTTTTTCAGTACGACGCCACTGACGAGGTTACAGACTTTTTCACTTCCCTCATCATTACTGACAGGAAATGTCTTTGGTTCCCCTATTGGCTTAGCAAAACTCCCTGTAGGGAGATAAAAGGGGAGAGAAGTTGAGAGTCATGGCCCTGCCATTATCCTGATTCTTCAGTAAATTTTGAGGGAGGGTTGCTTGTGAAAAGAGCAGGCGGAGAGGTGTGTCAGCTAACCAAATGTTTTGGAATACTGGGTTTTACTTAAAACTGATACAACGAAAATCTAAATTTGCTCAAAAAATGTTGTGCAAAAGGTACTTCTCTCTAGTTTCAAAATTCTTTAATCTCCCTGAGGTTCCTGAAGGGTTTTACACAGGGAAGCTGCCTGATCATTTTTAAAAGAGCTCATAGCAGAGACTGAATAACGTGCATTGAACAAACGAACAAATGGATACATGAGATGCACCTGCAGTGTTCTCTGTAGTATTTTTGTTTCCTTCCATGAGGTCATAGGTGATACATCGCCGTGATGAAGTCACCTGTAATAATCACAGCCATTGCCCTCGGGCCGATCCATGATCATCCTTAAAACTAACTTCACCAGCAAAAGGCTTTTCTCCTTGTTTTGTGATCATGATCATCCAGAAAGAAGAAAACCCCTGACTTTTAAAATGTAAGCTTATTTCTCTTGTTTCTTAAAAAAACACCTCTTCACTCTGACCCTACTCTTTTCTCAGACCGCCACCTGCCTCATTTCTTCTGTGGATGTGGCCACCCCGGCCATGGGGTCCTGTAGTCACGTCACTGTACATGGAGTGAGAGGCCACACATGCAACTGGGGACTGGAACACAGTTTGCAGAGGGATATGGGGCAGCGGAGCTTCGTTCATCCACTCAGGACACAGGGATTTTCATGAAGCGTAAGGAATTTTTGGTGAAATTTCCCTCATTGTCACCTTTCGATGATGCTTTTCTACCTCATTATATATGGACGACCAGTAGCATAAACTCCTCTATGGCACCATATTCACCTCAGCATGGCAGTGATTTCCCACCTACATGCTCACCCGTAAATTTGTCTCAGAGGAACACATTTAGATCTTGCAAGCATAGTAATATTAATGTGCACATTGCTTATAGCTGTCAAAGCACCATCACTTATTTACATCACAAAGAAATGAAAAGACTTCCACTCCCAGAAGGATGGAGTAGACATGTTTTGCCTTCCTCCTGCTAAGTACAAAAGAATTCTGCCGCTGTATATAAAACCAACACGAGACTGCGAGTGGAGAGAAGCAGCCTGGCTGGCTAGGGACCCTGGGACCCAAGGACCAACGGGGCAATGAGTTTCCTGGTTTTTCTTTCTGCCTCACATCTCAGACTGGGCGCTGAAGATTCTGGCAACCCAGAAACACCAAGAGTTGCCAACAAAAGCCTACTTTCTCTGGCCACAGGACCAGGAAAGGGGCAGCCAGCAAGACGGGAAACTTTTAGACAATAACCAAACACCAGCCAAACACCAAAAAGTAAAGGCACAAAGAAAGCTGTGGCCCACTCCTACCCCCACCAGCAAAGGCTGAGGGAGGGGCCTAGACCTCCCTCCCAAAAGCTGAAAGAAAAGAAGTACCAACCCAGAATCCTACACCCAGCAAAGGTACCTTCAGGACTGAAGGGAAAATCAAAATATACTAATGGGAAACTAAGAGAATTGGTAGCTAGCAGACCTACCGTAAAAGAGTGACTAAAGGACATTCTCTGAACAGAAAGGAAACAAAGAAGAAACCTTGGAATGTCAGGCAAGAAGAAAGAACAAGATAAGCAAAAGTGTGGGTAAATACAATAGATTTCCTTTCCCCTCTTGAGTTTTCTAAATTACATTTGCAATTGAAACAAAAATTATAACTACCTGATGAGGTCTAAATGTACATGGAGGAATGTTTAAGACAGTTATAAACAGTGGAGGGTAAAGAAATGTAAAGAGGGGTAGTGTACATAAACTGGTAAAATGTAATACCTAGAGCAACCACTGAAAATGCTGTACAAAGAGATATCCTCAAAAATACTACAGATAAATCAAAACTGAACTCTGAAGAATGCTGAAATAGCCCAAAAGACACAGGAAAATGAAAACAGCATGGAAACAAAAGCTAAAAAAATAAAATGGCAGAATGAAGCCCTAACATATCAATAACTGCACTATGTGTAAATGGCCTAAATGCATCAATTCTAAGACAGAAATCATGAGCAGATTTAAAAACATAATACACGTTACAGTCTACAAGGAATTCACTTCAAAAATAATGATATAGGCAGGCTGAAAATGAAAGAATGGAAAAGATGCATCATGAAACTGTTAATTAGAAGAAAACAGGACTAGCTAGCTCTCTTACTATCAGGAAAAGCAGACTTTGGAAGCAAAGAAAGTTACCAGAGACAGAGGGGCATCATACAATGATAAAAGGTCAAATCCACCAAGAAAAAAAAAATAGCAATCCTAAATGTTTATATACCAAAAATCCCCACAAAAACTGCAAAATATGTGAAACAAAAACTGATAGAACTGAAAGGAGAATTTAAAAAATCCACAGCTTTTTTTGGAGACTTCAGAATTCCCCCCTAAGCAGCTGATAGAACAACTAGACAGAAAATCAATACAGGGTATAGAAGTATTCAACCAATAGGGTCTAATCAACATTCATACAACATTCCACAAACAAGAGCAGCGTGCACGTGCTTCCCAGCGCCTGCAGGAACTGACCAGAAGAGACCCTATCATGGGCCTTAAAACAAACTTTGACAAATTTAAAAGAATTGAAATTGTACAGAGCACGTTCTCTAAATACAATGGAATTAAACTAGAAACAAGTAACAAAGATAATGAGAAAATCTGCCAACACTTTAAAACTAAACACACATTTAAATAATCCATGATTAAAGAGGACGTGATTAAAAATATAATAACATTTACAATCTTTTTTTTTAAGAAATACTTCAGTGTCAAGCTAAGAAAACATGCACAGGATCTGTATGGTGAAAACTGCAACATACTAATGAGAGAAATCAAAGAAAATGTAAATAAATGGAGAGACATACCATGCTCATGGATTGGAAGACAGTAAAAATGTCAATTCTCCCCCAAATTGGTAAAATTGGTATATAATTCAGTGAATATGTATTGAAATTCCTGTCAAAATCCCTGCAAGATTTTTTTGTAGATACAGACAAGATTATTCTAAAATCCATATGGAAAGGCCAAGGAACTCCAATACCTAAAACAACTTTGAAAAAAAGAAAAGAAATGGGGAAGACTCAGTCTACCTGGTTTCAAGCCTTCTCGTATGGCCATAGTGATCAAGACTGAATGGTGCTGAGGGAGGCATAGAGACATTAGTCAGTGGAGCAGAATAGGGAGCCCAGAAACACACCTGCAAAAATATGTGCAGCTGATTTTTGACAAAGCCGCAAAAGCAATTCAAAGGAGAAAATGTAGCCTTTTAACAGATGGTGCTGGAGCAAATGGACATCCATGCTGGGGAAGGGGGAAGAAAAGAAGGGCCTTGACCTGTATCTCAAACCTTAACTCAGATGATCGTGAACTTAAATGTAAGATGTAAAACTATAAAAAATAGAAAAATGCATAGGGGAAAACCTTGGGCATCTAGGGATCAGCAAAACGTTCTTAGGCTTGACACCGCGCATAAAAGGAAAAAATGATAAACTGAATATTATCAAAATGAAAACTCCTTGAAAGACCTTGTGAAGAGAATGATAAGAGAGGGAGAAAATATTTGTAAACCCCATATCTGACCAAGTACCAGTACCTAAAACAGATAAGAACTCCCCAACTCTACATTAAAAATACCAAGCAATCCGATTAGAGAATGGGCAAAACACATTAAAAGATGGCCAACGTCATGAGTTGTTAGGGAAATGCCAGTTGAAATCACAATTATATATAACCACACATTTATCAGAATGGCTGATAATGGCTAAAATAAAAAGTAGGGACAACATCAAATGCCAGCAAGGATGGCAGAAAATTCTAGATCACTCATACATTGCTGGCGGGAATGTAAAATGGTATAGCCACTTGGAAAATAGTTTGACAGTTGTTTTTTGTTTTTTAACTAATAATGCAACTATCTGATTCAGCAGTTGCATTCCTGGGTATCTATTCTAGAGAACTGAAGACTTATATTCGCACAAAAACCCGATGCTTTCTGCTTTATTTGTGATAGCCAGAAGTTGTAAACAACCCAGATGTCCTTCAAGAGGTAATAGGCTAAACAAGCTGTGGTGTGTCCATACCATGGAATATTACTCAGCAACGAATAGGAACAAATGTAGACACACACAACCTGGAGTTATGAGTGGGGGAAAAAAACAATCCCCCAAGAGTACCCATACTGTATCATTCCATTTATGTAATGTTCTTAAAATGTCAAGACTATAGGTATGGAGAGTAGATTAATGGTTGCTAACGTTAAGGAGGAAGGAGGGGTTGGAGAGAAGTATACATGGCTGCAGGGGGCAGCCCGAGGGGTCCAGGTGGCGATGGAGATGCTCTGTACATTGATGGTGTCAGTTGACATCCTGGTGGTGGTATTATATTACCCTTTAGCATGATGGTACCACTGGGGAAAACTGGGTGCAAGGTACACAGAATCTTTCACTTGTTACAATTGCATGTAAGTTTATAATCATCTCAAAAAGTTTGACAGAAAAAGTCCAACGAGGTAGCAAAATATTACTGTATTCAGTCACTTCATTGCTACACCAGGAGGCTCCCAGGGTGCCCCCTGTGGTGCCTGACACAGAGAAGGGGCTCGGTAGATGTTTGTTGAATGGGTCAGTGAAAGAGAATTTGAGTTCTTTTACCGCCATTTTATGCCAGATACTTGCCGAGGACGGCTGTGCTGAGTTCTCAAGTACCAGCAGTGAGATGGCATTCATGGCTCTGGAGCTCTGGGCCCCTGACTTCAAGGCTAAATTTTCCTTTGCTTGCACCTTCTTGCTCTCTTTCCATGGAAGGGGTGATAGCTCTTCAACCTTTGCAAGTTTTATTTATGCCAAGATGTATGTCATTTCTTCTTCTTTTCTTTTGCTAACATTTGAACTTTTCTCCTAATCACTGCCAACTCCCCAAACAAGCAGTGTACCCACCACAGCCACTGCCTTCTCCTTCATGTTAGCCTCAACCCTCTACACGCCAGCGCGCATCCCTACCTCCTCCGACTCCCGTCCTCCCTCCACTGAAACTATTTCTCTAAAAACCAGCTGGCTTCCTTTGTGCCATCATCTCGAATTTCATCCCCACCGTGTGTCTCCGTAGCACGGGAGCCATGTTGATGATTTACTTTGAGCAAGTAATTTTACCTCTGGAATTCAAGGAGTATTTTCCCCCATTGAACATCTAACTCCCATTTCAGTTGTGATTTTGGGTTGCATGATACACCCGTGTTCTCTCAGGTATACCTTCTCTTGGCCCAGTTCGGCAAGTCCCAGTGTCAGGGTTCCTAGCGATCTAGGGTATCATGTCCAGCATCCCTCACTCCCCCAAACCCTCCAGCCTCACGGGGGGCCGGCCCCGGGGAAGCCCATCCTTGCCAGCGCCACTGCAGGGGGTGAGAGCCCGCCGTCACTGTGGGACTCACTGAGCAGGCTGTTCCAGTCCATGCTTGGTTTTTCCTCAGACTCCATTGGCTGGAAGACGAGAACCCTATCATGTTTGAGATTTGTTAACAGCTCTTCACAGTACAATGGAATCCCACAGCTGCCCTCTGCCAGGTACCTGTGGTAAGAACAAGGCAACCTGTTTACATGGAAAAACCATCTGTTAGATAGGAAAAATACTCGGCTTTTCTCAGTTGCTTGAAAACAATCTCATTTTACATTCATTTCTGTTTGTTTTCCATTTTTAGGGATTGCGTTTTTTCTTTGTTTCATATTTGTACTTGTGTAAAACATTTACATCTTCCCAAAGCCAAAACTATACAATAAGGTGCATTCTCAGGCACGCCTCCCTTTCTCACCTTGTGAAGAACCATTGTGGTTGTTCCTGGTTCATCTTTTCAATGTTTCTTTTAAAAAATATGACCCGAAGCACACCCATAGCTCACTCTTTTCTTACATCAAGGATGGCATGTTATGCACCCCGGGCACTAGGCTGCACCTTGTTTTGTCATCAAGAATGGATCCCAGTCACGCCTCCGTGTCTGTAGGTCTTTCTCATTTCTTCTGACTGCTGTGTGACGCTCCACTGTGTCATGCGTCCTATTCTACCCCACCTCCCCCCAGAGACGGACACTTGGATTGGACTCAGCCCTTTACTAATATGAATAATGCCTCAATAAACTTTTTGTCCATATGTCACCTCATATCTTTGTCAATATACCTTCAAGATAGATTCCTAGAAGTAGGATTGCTAGAGCAAAAAGCCAATTGTGTGTGTGGACACACATGCACATACAGCACACATCTACATACATACCTACACACAGAGAAAGAATGGGAGAGAGTGTGCCATTATGGTATGGCATACAATGCCTGGATTACTGTAAATGAGGCTTTGTCCCAGATATCTTTCTTCCAGAAGCCAGGCAGCCCCCTTGGGAAGAATATGCAGTTACCAGGTGGGTTGTGAACGCTGGCTACAAAGAGGCACTGTCTGAGTTCAGGGGCCTGCTGTTCAGCCCCCAACCAGAGACATCGCCAAGAAACTCAGAAGCGCTGAGTAGAGGGCCAGCCGTCGACAGGGGACACCCACCCACACCAGCCCGCTCGGCGTGACCTCGCTTCATGGTGGGCGGTGGACCTTGGCGTTTGCCAGGTGCCTGTCATGTGGCTCATTCATAATGGTGCCTTCAGAACTGTTGGATAAAGCGAGTATGCCCATACCTGGACCCATGGGAGGGAGACAAAGTGGATGCCCATTCAGAGCATGAGAAGGTGTCGCAGGTAGGGTCTGGAATGAGGAAAAGGCCGGCAGCATCCTCCTGCCAAGCAGGACCCATGGCTGCCCTGAAAGGCGGGACCAGCAAGAACGCTGATGCAGGGGCTTTCAGAGGCGTCTTGAGGGAGCTGATGGTCGGCACCTGGGGACGGACTGCACGCAGATGTCTGGGCCCCGGGGTGGGAGCAGGCCACTTACGAGTTCAGTTCTTTGGGGATGCTCCTGACGCCGAGGTCCAGGCAGACCTTGTGGCCAATGTCTGCGGGCTGCATGGCCCCGAGGATGATGTGGGTGGTGGTCCTGCTCCTCATCACCGTGCTGGCTGCTGGGCAGAGTGCGTCGGTAAAGGGGGACAGGGACATGACGAGGAAGACGGGGGCAGTCTGGAGGAGCTTCTCCAGGAAGGCCCAGGAGGCCAAGTCGACGAACTGGCCCTCATCGATGATGAAAATGATCCTCTCCTCGTTCACGGTCTGGGCAAGATAGAGGAGCAGAAAGAAGAAGGGGTGGGGGCACGCATGTGTGGCCACCGAGCTTTGTGGCGCTCAATTAAATATTTTTTTTCCAATAGCTTTGCATTAACTTTGGTTCCACCAACTTGGAATTTGTGGCAGTCCTGATGAAGCGCCACGACCCGCCGGCCCACGTGTGCCCTGTTAGGCTGCCCTGACGGCTCTGTCCCCTCACCTTCCACTTAGCTCTTCACTGATTCTGAGGACCTTTTCATTAATGGGAGTTAGCATCACACTGTGTCTTTGACTGATACCTTTGCAACTATGGGGCAGATAGAAACGTGAGTTTCAGCTGTGAGATGGCCTTGTCAGTAAATTATTTGTGACTTGAGGAACGTGAAGCAGATGAATTCAATAGTCCATCACTGGCCCAAGTTCCTTATTTAAAATGAGGAGATGGAACTGAATCCTCTGTAATGTAACAGCCGACATTTACATCACACTCTCTATGTCCTGAGTATCACATGCCACTCCACGTGAAGTGACTCACGTAGTCCTCATAACATTCACAGGAGGTGGTACTGCTGAATCTATTTACTGAGAAAATTCAATTAGAGAGGTTAAGTTGGTAAGGTCACACAGATGGTAGATGATTCACAGGCTGTAACCAGAGCACACAGTTCGAAAGCGCAGCTCTCCGTGGTTCCCAAACTAGATTGTGCATCAGAACCAGCTGAGAAGTTTTTAAACAAAAGCAAATAACTAAATGGATTCCTAAGCCCAACCCAAGATGTTTTGAATCTTTAGGGGTAGAACTCGTATCTGTATTTTTTAAAGAAGCTCTCTGCATGCTTGTGATGTAAACAGTTCAAAGCCTGATATTTAGAAATTACTGGGATTGTCTTACTTGTTTGAAATGGAGATGGAGAACGTTGTGTTGCAAACTTAACATAATGTCACCAACTTGCATTGATCGTTTATGATGTGTGTGCCTGACACTGCTGGTCACCAGTGATACAAAACTGGTGAGGGGCTCCTTGTCACTAGAGGTTCACAATCCCCCAAGGACAGAGCCTCACACTAAGGAATTGCAATACCGAGTATTAAGTGTAATAAGAAATACGTTCAAAGTGTTACAGAAGGACAGTGAATGAGTCATGCCTCGTGATTTGGGGGGGGTTCTCACAAAGATGAGTATCATTTCTCGAGGTCAAAATAAAAAGTCTTTTGGCTTTTATCTCACCAGCCTCGGGAATGATTTGGGTAGCGTAAAGCGCAGGTTGGTGGGACTGGCCTGTGCCCTGGCAGTGTATGGGGGATGGGTTGGTGGAGAAGTTGGAGGCACAGAGGGTGGTCAGGAAGCTACGGAAACGGTCCAGGTGGAGGTAGAACCTGAACTACGGCAGGGGGCAGGACGGAGATCCCGAGACCACCCTCCGGAGAAACAATAGGTGTGGCGATGGCCGAGGGGCAGAGCAAAGGTAACTTTAAATGATGTGTGGACGAATTTGCCATTAACTAAATCAGGACCAGGATCAGAATGAGGAAGGGAAGGAACTGGAGTAGGAAAAATAAATGAATTTAGTCCTAGACACTGAACTGAGTGTGTGTTAACCACGTCCATGGGGAATAGAGAGACGGTTCTTGGAAATATGGTTCTGGTGCTCATAAGCGGAGGGACTGGACTATGGATCCGGTGATCTCAGCCTGGTGGGCCGTCGCGAGGTTCTTGGAGAGGGTGAGCGCTGGCTGAGCACCTCCGGCGTTGGGAGAGGCTCGCGCACCCTCTGGTGTTTAAGCCCTGTGCCCCTGTGAGCTCCTCTCTGGAACCAAAGCATGGCCCCCTTGCGGCACTTGCTCCAGGTGAGCTGGGCAGCAGGCACTAAGCCTAGGGGTTCACACTGGGGGAGTCTGACCTCGGAGCCCCCATACGTGACCACCTGTATTCTGCATCACATACAGCGGAGAGAAGAGGACTGGTTTGGAGGCAAGGCCGGGCCCCCAGGAGTAACAGAGGGGGCTCCCTTCCGGCAGGGCTAGATTCTGAGCAGCCTCCCGGACTGAGGAGTGGAAGGGTGGAGGAGACGGACCACGTTAGGGCAACACTCTCACCCGCTTCCCACCTGGGCGCCAGGGTAGCCCGAGCACCCAGGCCACCTGGCTCTGGGGTGGGACGCCCAGAGTTCCTCCCCTTACGTGGTCCCCAGACGCCCTTACTTGCTTCAAGATCTTCATAAACAATTCTTCCAAATGGTTTTGCTTCCTTAAGGCGCTCATCTTGGAAACCTCTCTTGAAACAGGGAACTGTATGAAGAATTACGAGGATACTGAGTACGGGGGGGACGGCAAGAGGGTCTCTACAAGTGCGTGATCTGGGGCAAACCCCCATACTCTTCTGTGCCCTGAAAGCCTCACGTGCTCTAGGTAACCAGTAACACCCTTTCTGGCCCTCAGGCCCTATGCCATCGAAGGTAATGGACACAGGACAGAGCAGGGCATGTGCCTCTGCGTCAGCAGCCACGTGCGAGCGAAGAGTGACTGTACGCCCTGGACTAGCAGGTTAGCTGGAAAGGTGGCGGAAAGGTGGCCACTTAGAGTTAATCTTGAGTATGCGTTTCCAGACACTTCCATTGTGCCTCAGGAAGGTGGATGCCTGTTCAGGGAGGCTTGGGAGCCATTTCCTCACCACCCAGATTCTCCAGATGAGAAGAGGGGTTGCAAAGTTCAGGGATGCTAAGTCACTGTGCACCTGCCCCGCCGCTGTTTCCTCCCACGGCCTGACACCACCGGTCACCTGAACATAGAAGATGTCGTTAAGAATGCAGTAGAACTTTTTATCCAACAGCCCGTTGACTTTATTTTGAAGGTTGGTCTGTCGTTCTCCGTAATTTTTACAAGAATGCAGATGTAGTACATTGACCATGAGCATCGGGATGGTATAAAAATTTTTTTGGAAGCTGATCTTAGTCAGCTCAATAGTGATAGTCCTGTTTGTAAAAAAGTGGAGAAGCAGGTGTTTGTAATACAGCTTTTGAACATAAAGGTTGAAGGAAAGCTCTGACTCCTCACATTCAGTTGTAAGCACGGAAGTTTCCCAAGCGGTCGGAAGCTGTCCTTTGTTCCCTTTCAGACACACTCCCTCGTCCCAGATGTTCCTAAGCCCCCATCATTCAACCCAGACCCCCTCCTCTCCAGTCCAGCCAGCACCGCCTCCCTCTCGCCTGCTGTCCCGGTCACACAGGCCACACTCAGTGCCTGCCCTTCCTGGAAGCCTGAAGGATCTGGATAGATGCCAGTCTTGTCTCCTATTTACAGTTCTTCGGTGGCTCCCGTTGCCCAAAGGTGTATGTCTAGACCACTTCAGGGGAGGCACAAGACTTTCTAAGCCCTCGTTGTATCATTTCTTGCCACTGTCTGCCCAGCAGTCACCCTCCACCATGACAAGGCGGCACAACTTCCGCGCACAGCGCCGCTGTTTCTTCTCGCTGTGCCTTTGCAGAGGCGCCTCCCCAGCCTGGAGGGACGCCCCGCAGTCAGTCCCTCCTCCCTCATTTCCTGTTCGTCGCTGACTCGGCTCAGGTGCAGCCCCCTGGAAACCTTCCCCGCTGCCCCCGAGGTCGGGAACCTGCCCCCCCCACACCCCAGCTTCCACAAAGCTCTGCGCCTGCCAAGTCAGTGTCATGCTTTTCATGCTCCCTCCTGGTCCCCCGTGAGAGCTGGCCCCTCGAGGGCAGCGGCCAGATACCAGTGTTCAGGGCACTGGCACGTGCTGTGGGCTGAGTCACGCACCCCACCCCCCAGATTCTTACATCTCACGTCCTAGCCCCCAGGACCTCAGAGTGCCCTCATTTGGTTGTAGGGCCATCACAGATGTAGGGAGGCGAGTTGGCTGAGGTCACACTGGGTAGGTGGGCCCCCTAATCCAGCAGGACTGGTGTCTTTATAAGGAAAGGAAATTGGGATGCAGACACACAGGGGGAGCATCAGGCGAAAAGGAAGGCGGAGGTCGGCAAGGTGCTTTTCCAAGTTGAGGAGCAACGGCCAGCCGACCCCTGGAAGCTGGGGGAGAGGCTGGAGCAGACTGCCCCCCATGGCCCCCGGGAGCCCGCCCTGCCGACCCCAGGCCTCCAGGTGGAGACAATGAACTTGTGTTGATGAAGCCCCTGGGTTTGTGGTGCTTTGTTAACAGAGGCCCTAGAAAGTAGCCCAGCCCTCAGCTCCGGGGACACAGCTGGTGCTCAGCACGAGAGGGGCGAGGGAATGGCCGAATGCCTCCCTGCGGTCATGCATGATCTCCTCAGCAATATTAGCCATGTTCCAGAACTGGCCTTTCTCGGGCCTGACGTGAAAGAGGAGTAAAAATGCAGCTAACCACAGTGTAAGGTAAGCCTTCTCCCCCTCCAGCCTGCGGGTCAGACCATCGCCTTGGTCATTTCTGTTATTGGATATGATACCAGTGGCCCAGAGGGACCCAGACGGTCATCCCAAAGAGAGCCCATGGGACACTCCTTATATGAACAAAGGTAAACGGCCTGGAGCAGGGACACTGGCCGCCTCCCAAAGGAAGGTCCAGGGCCCATCACTCTATCCTCTCCTGGGGCTGGGCGGCTGGGACTAGGGATTCTGGGTCAGGCAGCTGAATAAACATCCATGTTTGCTCTGCAGACCAGTCCGGCCTTGGTCTCAGCTATGGCAGTTGTACTTGACCTCTCTGCATGTTGGGGTTGCTCAGGAAGCTTTAAATCTTGGTCTCCACACCCACCTGGCAGTAAATCAGGATCTTAGGGGTCAGCCCGGCTCATGTCTTAGTTCAATGTGTTTGTTTATTTAGCACAAGGGGCCTGGTACCCCGTAACTAATAGACCGTGAGTAGTTTATGGAAGACAAATTACATAAAGGAGAGCATTAAAATGAATGAAACTCTTAAAAAGAGCAAGGTTCTTGGGCTTCACCAGAAATGGTCATCGCAAGACACTCACCTGTGGTTCTCGTTTTGGGCCAGGCACTCAATCTGCGCAAGTATCTGGCTTTTTCCGCACCCTGATGCCCCTTCGTACACCAGGACTCGGCTGCAGTTGTGCGTCAAGAATTCCTTCTTAGTGCGCATGAAGTGATCGATCTCCTTATCACGTCCTGTGATTTTTATTTTTCAAAAAGAGAGCAAACTCAGTCAACATAAAGTAGTCTAGAGAAATGTAAAAAGCACATAGAGACACTGCTTCTAAGAATACCTTTGGAACATCCGTGGCCTCGGTCATAGACTTTCTTGGGGTCCTGTGCACGCTAAAATTTTTTAGTCTTTCAAGAAACAAATCCTACCATTTGCAACAACATGGATGGAGCTGGAGGACATTATGCTCCGTGAAATAAGCCAGGTGGAGAAAGAGAAATGCCAAATGATTTCCCTCATTGTGGAGCATAACAACGAAGCAAAACTGAAGGAACAAAACAGCAGCCGACTCACAGACTCCAAGAAAGAACTAGTGGTTAGCAAAGGGGAGGGGTGGGGGAGGGCGGGTGGGGAGGGAGGGAGAAGGGGACTGAGGGGTGTTATGTTTAGTACACATGGTGTGGGGGGCACGGGGAGGACAGTGTAGCACAGAGAAGGCACAGAGTGGATCTGTGGCACTGGGGGATAGTGTCTGCACTGGGGTCTGGGGGGGGACTTGATAATGTGGGTGAATGTAGTAACCACATTGTTTTTTCATGTGAAACCTTCATAAGAGTGTATATCAATCATGCCTTAAGAAAAAAAAATAAAACGGGCCAAGAACAGGAGCAGGGAATTCACAGAAAGGGAACCTACCCCAACTTACTGTGTTGGAGACATGAAATATGTACAGCCTTTTGTATGTCAATCATACCTCAATAAAGTGTTTTTTTAAAAAAAATATTTTTTTTAGTCTTTCTTTAGAACTTGCCAGGCAACAATGAGTGTTTACCGTTTTATTTGATTCCCACCAGCTGTGAGGGATACTCATAATGTCCATTTAATTTTAGTGTAGAAGACAGGTTTGCTTAGCTTACACAATGAAGAATAAAACCAGGGGTATCTGACCCTAACCCTTATTTCTTTTCCTTCTTAATTAGAACACGCTGGAAGTAATCTACAGATACATTAGGAGATAAATTTATTAGAGTTAGGGTTCCTGAATTGAACAATTACGGGTAAAATATTTTTATTTTCAGTTCTTTGAGGGAACCTCGCTCTCTGCAAATGAGAAAGCCTACTAAGCTCAGGGCTCCTGGAAGCATTTGCTGTGATAAGAAAATTCAGTTTGCTTTCAGAAGTCATGTTTAGGTTATTTCTACCAGGAGAACAATCAAAATTCCTAGTAAAATTAATTTAGTTTTTTTTCTGATTATAAAACTAATGCTTCTCCCTTTAGAAAATATGGAAAACTTACTAAAGGAAAAGAAGAAAATCAAAGTCTATTTGGGTCAAGACCATCACTTATTTTTCTTAGGCGTTTTGAAATATGTGCAACAGGATGCCCTGACTGAAATGTGAACCTCGGCCCACAGTGTTTGAAACCTGGGCAGACAGGAGCAGCCGGCAGAGCTGTAATTTCAAAGGAGTGAGCATTTTCGGTCAAAAGCCCCACGTGGGGCCACCCTTTTCTCACTTGCTCGCGAGGTCACGTGGAGGGCTGTTCTCTGTGACAAAGCACATACATACTCAGGTGTCCTCTAACGTCTACTGAAAGCCAGGCCTATTACTCTTCTATGTTTTACACACGGAAGCCAAGTGTTACCCGGGTAATGTGATTTTCTGGGTATGATTTGGTGAGAACTATTCTGCGGAGTGTTTTGCTTCTTTTAGGTGACATATTGCTTTTCTGAAAGTGCACTTGAATTTCAGCACTGTGAGCTGTGCCGTACGCCCTGGCCTGAGGCTGACACAGGAACACAGAGGGTGGGGCCCAGACGCCCCCGGGCAGAATCTTCTAGCTGCCTGGGCTCTGTTCTCCTAGGACACATACTGCTAAGACCTTTGGATTGTTTCTTTAGTGGGATTCTAAACTGAGTTAAGTCAACTCCAGGTATATGCACCTTGTTTTTGTCTAAACACGGCCTTCATATCTGGGACTGTTTTATGTGCTTTAACCTAAAAACCACCTCTTGTTCATTCTAGCTCTGCTGTCGTCTGTGTGGTTCGTTGGCACATACAATTTCATTTACAGCAGCTCCTGTAAGAGAAGGGCGTTTCGCACTCTCCTGGCCCTGACAGCCCGCTTTCGGCTTTGGCTTTAAGAGCTATGTGTGCCCGATCTCTGCCTCACACTGGCAGAATCAGGGCCGAAGGACCGCTGGGCCGGAGAAATGCCTGCACGTTGCAGCACGCGTTCTTATATGGTGGTCATATGGAGGCTGCAGGCTGGTGGGAAGGGGGCTGGGACTTGCATTTATTCTCGGTCAGTATCCAGGGAGCATATCCCAGGGTGGCACATCAGGCCTCAGGAGGGGAGAGCGGGCATCCTTTCTCCTCTCCAGCCTTCAGGGGGTGGCAATCTGGGCTTACAAGAAGTGATGCTTGCAGACTCTGAACACCACCTGAATGTGGAGACAGTGTGGCACTGCTGCTGGCCCAAGAGCTCCTGGCAGTTCTGGGACTGTTCTTTTCGATCTTTTAGGCTCTGATGACATCAAGAGTCTGTCCCAACATTTCCCTGAAGTGTGGGACTGAGTCTCCTCCGAATGTCCCTAACACAGTTATGAACAGGATTTAACTTATGATGATGCTTTAGGGATGCTCGGGTCTAAAGGAAGGAAATTGCAAGTGACCCTAGAAATGGCTGACCCCAGAGTCCATGGGCCTGTCTTCATGGCGGTGATGGGAGGTCCTCTTCCCTCAGGAAGTGTTTCTGCCCCATTGTATGTCTCCTTCCCTGTCTAGTCTTGAGTTAGCTTTCTTATAGGACCCCTATCACCAAGAACTCCAAAAGCATCACTCCCAGATGGACTGTCAATCTAAATGTAAAAGGTAAAATAAAATTTCTGGAGGAGAATTTAGAAAAGAACCTTCATGACTTTTGGGTGAGGAAAGATTTAACCAAAAACACTATAAAAGAAGAGATTGTTAAATTGTAACACATTAAAATAAAAGATTCTGTTCATTAAATAAATAATAGAGTAGAAAGGCAAGCACAGAATTGGAAAAGTTATGTATAGTAGAAACCCATTTCCAGAATATATAAATAATTCCAACAGATCAGTAATAAAAATACAACCCAACTGAAAAATGAGATTTTTCCAGATACTTTATAAAAGATGACACCCAAATAAGGCAATAAAACCTTGAGAAAGGAGGTCAGCCACATCGGGAAGACGCAGATGGGAACTGCCATGAGACACCACTACACACAACAGAATCATTAAAATCATAAAGACTGATAAAACCAAGTTGCCGGTAAGGATCAGGGGCAGCTGGAACTCTCACGATGCTGTTGGTCTGAATATCAATAAAAACAGCCATTTAGGACAATGGTTTGGCTTATCTACTAAAATTGTTCTCTTTGTCCCATCAGTGTCACTCCTACATGCATATTCAACAGAAATGCATTCATTTTTCACCAAAAGACCTCTGCAAGGATCTCTATGGCGATATTATCTGTAAGAACCAAAAACTGGAAACAACTCAAATGTTGTACCACAGAATGAACAAATGGCTGTATGTTTATAAAATGGACTAGTACACAGCGATGAAAATGAACGAATCACAGCTATACCAACATGGATGGATTTCAGAGCATGATTAGAACAAAGCGTATGTGGCTATATAATGTATGACTTCATCTATATGAACTTTAAAAACAGGCCTAAGTGACAGCGATGGCAGAGGTCTTTGGGGAGAGGGAGGGAGGGAGAGCCTCGGACGCTTGGGGAGCGCTGCCCTTTTCCATTTCCTGGCCTGGATGGCGATTACACTTCATTTGGTGATAATACATTTAGGTGCAGACTTACCACTGGTGTACTTCTCTGTATTTTGTTTATAGTTCAATAATGAAATTTAAAAATCAAGGCCCACTACTCACCCAGCAAAGGGTAGTGCTTATTTCTGTTGCAGGTGAGACCTGGCTCACCAAATATGCTGCAGAGGAGAAAAGAAAAGATGTTAGAGTCAAAACGGGGAAACACTGATAGCAAGACAGACAAGTTCTTAGTTCCCAGAAAGCCTCCTTGTCAGTTTCCAACATAAGCCTCTCCCCGGACTCAAGGGTTGCAGACGCCGAGAGGAGGGGGCGGGAGAAGAGCTCGCCTGGTAGGAAGACAACTAGTAGCCCAGACAGCCAGTAGGCCGGCCTTCACCACAGTGCCTGGCACGTTATTCAATAAATGCTTGCTGAGGCTGCATTGGTAGAATGGATCCCTCTCTAAGGAAACTGGGCACCCAGTGTGGGACTTGAGGCACCCATAGGCTTGGGGGTGGTATCTTGGCTCTCATCCTGGACAGATTCCACCAGTTGCTGAAACTTTGTAGAGCACATGCTGTGTGCCTGGCACAGTTTCAGGCACTTATCATTTCCTTTACTCCTGACTAAATCCTTATTAAGGAGGTACAATTATGATGTCCATTTTACGAATGAGGAAACTGTGTGTAACTTGCCCAAGATCCGTGGCTAGTGGAGGTGGAGGACACTGACAGGTGATCCTCTGTCACGGGGCCAGGCAGCATACACTTCACCACTGCATAATTTTCTCTCTTGAACGAGCTTTTCCAGTCAAAAGCTTCACTCCCTTGTCTGCACCATCATATTAGTTCACTAGGCCTCGGTCATCGCATGCATCGAAGTCTCCCATATCATATACAACTGATTTTGTGTGTGTTGGTCTTCATTAGATTGTGAACGTTCAGGATGTGAATCATGCTCTGTTCATATCTGTATGCATATTTCTACACTCTCTTATCTTCAGAGATGGTACAGAAAAACCATGAAGGCGGCAGACTTTAGGGTCGGACGGTCCTGGGTTTCTTTGGTAGATCGACTGTGTCGGTGGCCCCACTTCTTCAGCCCTGCTTATAACCATGCCCTTTGCCATGTGAAAGTGCAGTGCCCTCTCCCTCTGGGCTCGACTTTGTGAATGCCTTGGCCCAGGGGATATTAGCAGACATGACACAAAGGTGGGGAAAATGCTTGTGCATTGGGCTGGCTCGCTCTTGCCTTCCTGGTATCACCATGGCAACACGCATGGGCTGGCCTGATGGAGGGTGAGACACATAGAGCCAACTTCTCCCACTTATGTCACCAAACTTCCTAGTTATCCCCAGTTTGGTCATCCTGGGTCTGCCAGCAACCTGCTGATGCCCAGGCATGTGAACAAGCCTAGGAAAGACCAGACAAATGCAGGCAAGATCAGGTGAATCCCACATATTTGTGAGATAAGTGAATGTTGATTGTCGCGTGTCACTGACGTTCTGGTGGGTGGTTACAAGGCGTCATTACTGTGGCATTTGGAAACTTGACTCCACTGTTCAGTAGATTTATGACTATGGCCTAGTCATTTAACATCTCTGAGGCTCCATGTTTAAATTTGTAAAATGGAGATAATAGTTTCTACTTGATATAGTTGATAGTAAGAATAGATTCTGTATTTTGAAGTAAAGTGCCTTATATTTAATAAGGGCTCACAAAAAATTATTCAAACAGATTTTATTGATGGTCTGTAGACACCAAAGTGCTGAGCCCCGGGAATACAGAGGTAAGGAGTGAAGGTAACTTAAGCCGACTGCAGCCTGATTCTGTCGTCTGAACCTTTAAGGCCCAGGTCCCAGCCTGCTAACATGAAGAACTGAGGGGCCGGCCCTCCCCCTGTGCGTGCTCCCCCGTGCATTGGTTCATCGTCATCGGGTGCCTCCCGTGTGCCGCACACTGGGGATGTAAGACTGAACGAGAAAATTCTGTCCTTGAAGGGCGCACAGTGTGGCGGGCGTGGTAAATGCTCTGACAGAGCACGTACCGCAGAATGACAGAGGAGGAAACCATTAGACCAGACTGCCTGAGCCGGCCTCGGGGAGGAATCGGCTCTTGAGCTGGACTTTACAGACTGACTGGTTTTTCCCAGCCGACTGGGGATGGGGTGGGTGATGGCGAGGGCAGTCTACTTAGACACCCAGAGGAGGCGGCACGGGGCACGGGAGGAGATGAGCTTGGGAAAGGAGCAGTTACCTCGTACGTCACTGCAACGAAGTGACTGGAACCTGCTGAAGGACTTTAAGCCCCCAAGTCCTACTCATACGTCTGAGCTGGGTTTGGGGGGAATATATTTCACTAAAGACCTAGAGGAGGAACAATTTCTTACACTCTTTTAGCCCAATTGGTGTCTGGTGCTCAGTTGGTCTGAGCAGTAAAGACTTGGCAGTTGGTCCCTGGGACCGTGTGGGTCCAAAGCGATCCTCAAACAAGGGGATCCTTTGTTTTGTTTGCACAGTCTCTGAAGAAGCGCCCTCAGATTCTCAGAACCGAGGGTAGAGCGGGGTCTCCCACCATGCTATCCTATCAGTAGCGGGGAGAAAAGACGACATAGCTTGAAATCTGGGCCATGATCTGGGGAAGAAATAGATTTTAATTTCAACAACTGGCTTAGAATCTGAAATGGGTGGCTGACTGCTATGCCATCATACTTTTCCCACTTCTTTACCAAGAAATAACAGCAAAACCAGTGTCCCATACTCACTCTTCCCTTTTAATGCCCAGACACTGGTAGACCGGTCCGGAATCGGCAACCCCTCTCATGGTTTTCTTTTGGAGTTCCTTGAAAGAGTAGGCTGGTAGGTTACTGCCCTTGTAGGTGACAGAGTCACAGGTCACGATCCCTGGGTAATACACAATCATCCTGGCAGCTGTGTTAACTGTCTGACCGATTACTGTAGCAGGAAGGAGAAAGGCAGAGAGCAGGGGGAAAACCACCGGTGACCTGCAGGTAATGGGGATGCATCCCGTGGGGTGTTTTTACCCTGGTATCCCTGTACCTCTCATGAATGGCCCAGCAGCCTTGCCTCCAGCTACGCATATTTGGCCAAGCTATGAACGAATATTCAGAGAGTTAATTCAGCTAGCCACAAGGCAAGTTTCTAGCTCACCTGACGGCCATGGGGATGACCTGCTCAGAGGCAGAAGGGGAGGCGTCGGTAAAGGGCGTGGCCGCAGGCCCGAGGGCTCTCAGGTGAGGGGTGGTCACTTTTCTGCTACAAGAGGGATGAACACAAGCTTGGGCCTGGGACACTGACCTCCAAATGAGGCGCAAAGTTGTGTCTGTGTATTGCTGTGCATGAAATTGTTGTTTCTTTTCATTTTTGACATGAATCACTTTCATTTGGCAATTTCCTAAGAGTGAGTAAATGTGGGCGTGTGTGTAAGATCGATTTAGGGGTTATCTGAAGGGTAAGAGACTCCGGTGCACAGACTCTGAAGCCAGGCAGTACGGGTTTGAACCCCAGCCCCACCTCCAGCTACTATGTCCCCAAATTCCCTCTGTAGATTACATTAATCTGAACATGGGGATGGTAGCAGTATCTATCTCAGGGGGTAGTTGGTGAAGATTAATGAGTTAACCCATGGACATCACTTTGAAGAGTGCCTGGCTACTGGTGAACTAAACCCTGGATTGATATTGCTACTAAGTAGATTTTCAATATTGCACTTGAACATAAACTTAAAAACTTCTGATCAACATATCCCTTTTTAAAAATCTGTTTGTTGTGGGGAAATTTGACCATACAGTAGATTACAGTGTTGCAAGTCTCCATGGATCCCTTGCGGGCCCCAGAAGTCATGCACCCATGGCCCATCCTGCCCCACCTCCACTGGCACGTGTCCTTCACCCCTTGCTATTGGGAAGACAGTCTCAGACACGGAATCAGCTTAGACGTGACTCCTGCAGTGCTGCGATGCCTTCAGTCACGTAGATTCATGATTTGAACATTTAAACCCAATAGCATTGAAGAGGGAAGTAAGAGCAGCGGGCTCTGGAGATGACGCTCACTATTCTCTTTTGGTATCGTTTATAAGTAATGCCGACATTCATGATTCTTAAGAAGCAGTCATTACCTATTCCAGGAATTAAGAGGAGTAACTGTTAATGTTAACTGGAAATTATGATCAAGGCTCCTCACTTCACGAGCTTATAGCCTCATTGCTCCCATCTAATAACTATGAATTTCTGGGGCTCAACGTGATTAATCCTGTCAAGCGCCAGAAATGCACACTTTGCAAGCACTGAGTTGTCAGTGGGCAAAGTTACGTGGTTTCGTTCCACCTGGAAGACTGTGAACGTTCTTAGGGAGGGTCCGTGTCTCCCATATCTTCATCCCCCAGAGACCAGTGCCAAGCTCAGCGTTGGCTGAAAGGAGAACGAGATGGGCTAGCTGTGCACACCTGTGTACTCATGTCTCATGGAGTGTCCGATGATGCCACAGAAGACGATCCCGCTGGTCACTCCGACGGAGACAGTGCTGGTGCCGTGCACACAGACAGCAAGCATGGGGAGGAGACAGGGACAGTGAGCAAGGGGCAGCGGGCAGGGTGGGAACAGGACTGTGTGGGAGGAAGGGAGGGGCTCTCGGTGAATAACTCCCTTCCCTTGGCAGCTGGTTCAGTGCATTGTGGAGGGCCTGGAGGCGCCAAGGGTGGGCAGCTTGAAACACAAAACCAAGTTCTAAGAGGCGGGAACTAGGTTGACTTTTCTGATATTTTTAAATATCCATATGAGCCACTTTTCTAGAAAATAACCTCTTATCACCCCAAGTGTAGACTGACTGTGGCTGTAAATGATTTATCTTTGTTATTGCAGGAAAGAAAACAGCCATTATTTTTAAAGGCAGCAACTGAGGTACCATGTGTGGCATTGAATTACCTTTGCCAATACATGGGGACGGCTGCCTGTAGAGCTGGCCTGGGGCTGAGGAGGGAGAAATATTTAGGGCAAGGGGTTGGTGCCTGTTAGAGGACGGTGGGGTCATTAGGGCACTGGGCTCTCGGGCACCAGGGCTGGGGATGGGTAACCTTACCCATCTTCATAGTTTTACTGTGGGTGGATCATCTTGAGGCCAGGCTTATATAAATGAATTTCCAACCCAGGGACTCATTCTATCTCCCAGTTATTAAAAATCAACTCGGATCTCCAACATGGTGCTGGGAGTTTGACCTCGACCAAGCAGCAGGCCCAATGCGTGGACAGCCGCGCCACTTGGCCGTCCGTGCAAACCTGGTACACCTGGGCTCTTTGGGAAGGGCCTCTCTCCCCCTCACCGGTGCCAGCCCCCCGTCCTGCTGCAGCAGGGCTGGTCCCCCGCTCAGCTTGCACAGCAGGTGAGTGAGGAACGGCAGACAGGAGGGTGCCCAGCCCAGGACGGCTCTCCCCATATTCCTGCTCCCTGACCCTGTCCTGTCTCCCTAAATGCTACCAAAGGGTTAGGGACCACCAGATGGGACCAGGGTCAACACTCACTGGATATGGGGGACCTGAGAGCAGAACGTAAATATATCCACCGCACTTTCCAAGGCTTGAGTGACCTCATCAGGTGCCTTTTCCCCGGGGAAGCCAAAGACACAGAGGAAGCAGCAGCCCTGTGTGGAGTCAGCAAACAGGGCCGCGGTGAGCCCTCCGGGCCGGCCGGGGCTCGGGGGCGGCAGCCTTTCTGCCCTCTGAAGCAGGCACATGGCGACAGCTCTCATACTGACTTCATTTCTAGCAGACTTTAGAAAATTCGCAGTGCGTCCCCATCAGCGGGCGTGCCTCCTCCAGAGCTCACAGGTGGTTCTGAGTTGTTTGCACACCACCTCCCACCTGCCCTCTGCTGGGCGCAAGGTCACAGGCAGCCAGGGGGCCAGTTCACGGCCAGGTGAAGGCATGGAGCAGCAGCGAGGGGCCGGCTCTGACCCTCGGGCCCTGCGCTCTCCTCCGCCCGTACAGTGGCGGGGTTGGTGGCCGCCCCTCGGAGCCCTCGGAGCCCTGGGAGCAGAGTGTGTGCACCCGGCCCCGGCCCTCCTGCCTGCTGGCTGCTCTGGCCACCCAGCCTCGCCCTCGGCCTTCTGTGAGGGACCTCACTTAATGCTCACGCCTCCCCCATGCGCGGCGAGAGCGGCCCGGGGACGGAGGGCTCTGCTCTTAGGACCCGAAGTCACCCAGATGGGGAATCCTGGTCACTGGCACTTCTGTGCCAATCTGTGGATCTGTGGTCATTTGTGGATCCTATTGTTTGTCTCTGAACTGATTAAGAACAGGTTAAAAACATGCAGGAGCTGGAGGGGACTCCACACCCCCGCCATGCCTCCGTGCCTGCTAAAAACTGAGGGGGCTCCAGAGGTGCAGGTCTGGCAGGTGGGGATTAGTGGAAACAAGCTTCAGGGTGTGACAGTTGCCAGACACCTGGCCTGAAATCTGGGTGGTGCATAACACGGAGGGCTGGAGAGGCACCCGCAGTGAGAGGTTAGCGGGGGGCACTGCGGCCAAGAACCCAGGCGGGGCAGGTGGACCCCCACTGACTCACCCGACAATCACGAGCAAAGCGTCATCTTACCTTGTCCCAGTACCCGCACCCCCACCTCAGCATCCTCATGTGGTACCTCTTAGAGTGCCATGAGGGTGAAGTGAGCTAACGTGTGTGAAGTGTTGAGAACAGTTCCTGGCACACAGTAAGTGGGGTATGCACCATATAAGCTGTTATTAAAATTACAAATAAGGATTGATGTTTCTAGGTTAAAAGTGTCTATTCCCTTCTTCTCCCCCATACATGTAGGCATGAATGCTAACCTTAAATTTGGGTAGGTTCCCACCTGGTAGTTCACATTTACCTTGTCAAACATGAAGACTTTATTGATTTGGCCTCGGAAGACCCTCAGGACAGAACTGATGTGCACAAAGGCCTCCTGAATGGCCGAGCCGATGACTTCTGCTTTGTCCTGGTCCTTAAACAGCAGGTTCACAAACACAATGGTCACTGGGCGCAGCTCAGACAAATACCCCCGAAGCTGCTTGTCGTCGATCTGCCAAGCAGAGAGAGGCTCCCTTGAGCGTCCGTCCTTGGTAGTGGGTCCTTCCTCACCGCCCCACCCCTCCCACGCACCCGACAGTGTCACTGGGCGGGAACCGGCCCCTGGAGATTCTCTGGGGAAGCTTGAGTTACCAGAATGCACAGGCATGGCGTGGCCGGAGCCCACCCGCAGTCGCGCAGATGGAGCCCGAGCGCACCAGCAGAACCCCTTCCGGTGGGACTCACGCACCTGCCCCAGCCCGGAGCCGCTGCCCCGCTGCTGCCCGTATGAGCCTTCACGTCAAAAGAAACTACTGCTCCCCATGGCTGTCTGATAATTTAGGGGTCACAATTGCATGTGATGTAATTCAACCTTTTAGTTTTACAGCCCCAGGACCTCCTGGAATAGCTTTACATTCTATCCCACTTTAACTTCAAATGAAATAAAACAGCATTATTCTCCCCATTTTACTGATTAGATGACTCAGACATGAGGAAATAACCCACATGTCCCAGGGCCGCTTAGATGACAGTAGCAAAGCAGAACTGAAATCCCCGGACTCCTGCGTGGACCTCCCACCCAGTGCTCGGCCCCCACACCTGTCCACACCAGGCCCAGGCAAAGGCAAGAAGACTGTCCCCAAATTGGCCCTATGTGTCATGACCCCTGAATTTTGTTAAATCAAGTGCACAACAAACCATTGGGAGAAAGTCATTGCATTTTCTCCCTCACATAGCACGAAAATGTCAGATTCTCCACTGACAATAGGAAACACACCTTTAGATGAAGAGGGAATTGCATATTGGGACTCCTGCAGCCCTGCTTCCTAACTGGTTGGGATAGTCCTGGTTTCCTGGAATTTTATTCTTTTCATCAAGCACGATTTAATAATTGCTAACTAACCAATGTGATGATTTTCTTGGATTTTTCAAATACATTTATTAAATAAGTAGTCAATACTAAATAAACAATGTTACTTATCAAATATATTGAATTAACTAATCAGAAATAATTCCATCAGACCATGTGTTCTGAGTTTGGGTTTAGAAAATGCGCCGCTGTCCCCCAGGGAGGAGGGCAGGCCTTAGCAAAGTTGTGAGAGGTTTGCCTTTTACCTCTTTTCAGCCCCCGTACCTGCATCTTCACTAGGTGTTCATTATTCCCACCCACAGCTTTCTTGGTGACGCACGGATCTATTTTGTATCTCATTCCTGTAGGCCTTGTTCTCAGCTGGGTGAGGCTGGAGACACGTAATGCTTTATGTCTCTGGGAAGCAGGGAGGGGAGGGCTTTCTCGAGCTTCAAAAATCTTTAAGAGTCACAAAGTTGAAGGCACTAGAGGTTGTGTTTCCAAACTGGCTGAAGGCAGATGGGCATATTCTGATCCCTGTTCATCCCACACTATGAAGGCAGCTGTCCGGATGCTGCTCAGGCCTGGCCTACAAAGACTTCCTCCAGGACACAACTGCGTCTCGATGGGATTAAGGGTTAACACTGGCATATATCAGGAGGGTGGAGAGGCCTGGGCAAAAAATGTAGGTTCCTATAGAACAGGGTTCAAATCCTAGTTACATCTCTTACTTTACAAGCTTGGGGAAGTGCCTGGTACCCTGCTGGCTCTCAGTTTTCTCATACGTAAAGTGGGGATAAAGGCATCTACCAAGGATTGTGAAGAAGAAAAACACGAAGCAGCAGAGAGCGTGGCATGTGGTGAGCTCTGAGAGGTAGGTAATTATAATTCACATGGATTAACACATTTGACAGAGCTTAGATCTAGGTGAATGAAAAGAAAATTTTACGTAGTGGAGGTAGTTCTGAGCCTTCTGATTCTCTGTGTGGTTAACTTTCAAAGCTCACGAGCTAATGGAAGCGACTTGGACAAATATGTGCCAGTGCCCAGCCACTCGACATTTGCCCCGCTCTGCGTCATGCACAAAGCATGACCACTGGTTCCTCTCTGCTTGGGGCACTTCCAGGCTGCCCAGCTGTGTAAGGCAACCCAGTCCTAGTTATGCCTGTTGTCACAGTGTCTCTAACTCTTAGAAGTGTCCTAATTTGAGCAATAAATTTATAGTTACCTACATATGGAGAATGTCAGCCTCACCTCTTTTTATTTCAATGAAACATTTTTCTAGCTACTGGTTTTCTTGATCTTTCCAGCTGTCCAAGATCCCTAACAGCCCAAAAACCGATAAATCAAATTATGAAAATACCTGCTTCAATATGCTGTCCATCAGATACTTTTGTAGGGACAGCTCCAGTTCAGGATCCGACTCCAGTTTGCACGTGAGCCTCAGCAGGCCTAAGAGGGCAGGCAGAGGAGAAGGGTCAGAAAGGGTGGCTTGGTGCTGCAGCTGGCGCAGGAGAGGGGCCTCCCTGCCCCCACTCCCTTGGGCAGTGGTCTTCCCAGTTCCGTCAGGGGACTCTGGGACACCTAGTGGCCGATAGGGCCAAGGACATCCAATGCGAAGCTCTTGGAGGTTGCAGGCTTCCCAAAATTCAGTTCCTGTAGCTTAAAACCCTGTTCTAATTGTTGTCTCACTTTGGAACTTGGAGAGATTTTTACCTGCAGACTTGAGCTAAAACTATTGCCAGAGATGATGGGAAAAAACATGAGGGTGACAGCAGAGGGCGATGGCGATGGATGAAGGGGATGATGGAATTGAAAGAGCAGCAGGAGAAAGATTTAGGAGAGTGGCTTCTGCCCCCAGGTTTGACACCAGCTCACTGGGTGGCCCTGGATAAGTCACCTCACTGCCCCATTGTCTCCTGTTTCCTTGAGCAGTGGGGTTTCCTAACCTCTGCGGTTTCTGTTAGGCAGGAAAACAGATATGAGTGAGGTGGGGAGAGATAATTAAGGCCAGTAAAGGCTACTACAAGGGGCTCAAAAAGTTAACCAGTTAAAACTAGAAGCCCAGAAAAGACACAAGAGTTAATGAGTTGATCAGTTAAAGCTCAGAAAGCCAGGAGCAACTTGGCCTGGAATGTTTGAATATTCCCCAGATAAAGGAAAGTATGTGAGCACAGGCCCATGTGTTCATCGTGTCAATTAGATCATGTCATTGTAAGATTTACTTTAGCCTTCCTGCTAAAAGGCCCAGCTATAAACAGCATACTAAAGACAGAAGATTCCACCTTAAAGCCAAAAAACCCAGGAAGTTAAGAAGTACCATGCTTAACTTACTCTTTAGCAAACAGACAATAACTCAGCCCACCTTGGGGGCTGGGCAGGCAGTCTTGTTTGATATGCTCCCAGGCCAAGAAGCGGGTATCTCAGGGAGAAATCAGAGCAGTAAATTTCTTGTGTTAAGTTGATTTGAATGTTTGGGGCCCACTTAACAAGTCTGTACCCCCAGCCCTGGGTCACATTCCTGAAAAACCCTTGAAAGGGGGAACCCTCAACCTTTCAGTGCGCTCCTGTCTCTGAGGTCACCCATACTTTGTAAGTGCGTAACTTTAACTTTTCCCCAATCTTTCTGCGTGCCTCTCTCTCAGAAGTAGCCCACGTTCCCCTTTCTCTGAGGGTACAATTCTCTCTTTAAATAAAACTTAAACCTTTCAAGGTGCTTCTCCTCCCTGAGGTTGCCTGTACGTTTTCTCTCTTTAAGTAACTAACTAACTTTTCCTCTGCTTCACTACTGTGTCTCTGCCCTTCAGTTCTTTGTTGTGTTGGGGACGAGAACTGAGGAAAATACACAACGCCCGCCTAACGGTTTCCTTCACTCTAATGGCTGATCGTTCCATACTCTGGAATAGACTGATAGGAGGAGGTAGGAATGAGCTTGAAGATGTCAAAAAATCAGGGAGAAAAAGTGATGACAGGTTTTCAGCAGGGACGAGAATAATGAGAATGTGGGGGGAAAATGAGATGAGAAATAAAAATGAGGTCTGAATGGGATATAAATCAACCACATTTAATTTTCAAGTGTTTATTGAATATATTCAAAATCTAATACATTCAAAACACCACGCTTGGCACTATGCAGGAAATGAGGGCCTTCTCCTGCAGGTGCTGACTCATTGGATATCCAAATATTTATGTGTGGAAAGGTTAAATAGAAAAAAAAGTTGGGCTAAATGAGCTAACAGATTGTAAGAGCCAGAGAGATTCAGAGGAAGCAGTGGTCGATAGGAGTGGGTTTAATCAGAAAGGGGCTCACAGGAAAATGAGGGATTTCACTGGACCTTGGATGGCTTAGGGCATTTTATTAGGGTTGAGGAGGGCGTGCCTAGCAGAGGGAACCGAGGAGGCCAAGTGGAGAATGCACACAGCATGGTGAAGGACTGGTGCGGACCGCGCTGAGCTCCAGTCCCAGGTGGGTGTTGGAGACTAAGAAGAAATGACACCCACCGGAGCTGGAGACAGGCAAGGAGCGCAGGGCGAGAGCTGGCGTCGTGGCAAAGGCCTAGATCTTTACAGTGGCCATGATTACAGGTCACCTGTGCCTGTGGCAGAATAAAGAATTTGGCTGGTCTGCTCCTTGCCCCTGGGAAGTGAATGCTAAATCTTTGGAATTCCCCGAGTTGTGGTATTGTCTCCATTATCGAGGTGGGCCCTTTGGCCCGCACCTGTTTATGCTAATGAGAGGACCAGGGTCAGGGCTGGTCACAGGGAAAACCCAACCACAGGATGAGAGGGCTGGACTTTGAGCCCCAGGTGAGGAAGGGCCTGCACTCCTGACCTCTGCGCAGGGGAAGGGGCTGGACGTGGAGCTCGTCACACTGCCAGTGGTTCGGTCGATCATGCTTACTCACTAAAACCCCAGTAAAAATGCCAGGCACCCAAAGCTTGGGTGAGCTTTCCCCGTTAGGAATCAGACACCGATGTGCAGGGACAGTGATGTGTCCTAAGGGTGCAGAGACCTCGTGTGGAATTCTTGGAGGCCTTATGTGTCTTATTTGTGTCTTTATATGTGCGTTTATCTGGCTGCTTCTCGTTTGTGTCCTTTACAGTCAAACTGTAACAGAAGCATAGTCCCTTCCTGAGTTCTCTGAGTCCCTCCGATGAATCATGGGGCCTGAGGGCTTTGTGAGCACCCCTGGGTTTGCGGAAGTTGGTCGGAAGAGCTGGTGGCCTGGTGGTCCCAGAGCCAGTGGCGTCAGCTGAAGGGGGTCTCGTAGAGGACACAGCCCGAGCACCCGGCCGACTCCAGGCAGCCGGCCTCAGGAGTACAAGGCGCCATGTCAACGCCCAACCTGGCCTGCAGAGCCCTTTACTGAAGGTAATGATGAGAAAAAAGAATGATTCAAAGGTGTTTCTGAAGTATCTAGTTTGGAGGAAGAAACCGTTTTTAGGGAAAGATGAGTAGCCTAGAGTTTAGACGTTGCTGCAATAAATTTCTAGCCCCAAGACAGAGCCCCATGTGCCTGGGTCGCCACGTCAGCAGACAGAAGCTGAGATAACTTCCATATCCCTGTGTATGTCCTGTCTGCCTGGACGTGTGGTGTGTCCAGTCATCCGGCCCCCTGTTCCAGGCCGACTCTGGGCCTTCTCCCTCCTCCCCCCAAACAAGGCTGACCATGTGGCCCCAGCCAATCAGATGTCAGGGCTCAGGACCGAAGAGTGGGTGGACACATGCCCCCCGAAGTGCATGTGACCAATGCTTTTGGGGCAAAAAAGTCCGTCAGAGGATGCAAGAGGCACAGACATACAGTTAGTCTTCTGGGAAGCTCGGCGGTGAAGGGTAGGAGGGAAAAGTAAGGTTCGTAGAAGTTTTTTCTTTTGTCAAGGGGGAGACTTATACATTTGGAAGATAAGGGAAAGAGCCATTGCCAGGCAGGGGTAGGGGGCCTGGGAGGGGGCACTTCTGATCACTGCTGTGGGCAATGGGAAGGAGGTCCCCTTTGTGGGCTAGGGCCTGCGGCCTACTCTGGGGGGCCAGCACTCAGCACGAGCCCGTGGCTTTGCTGTAAGACCCTGCAGACCACAGGTAGAGGTGAAGGCTCCCATCCATGGAGGGTACTTACTTTTGTGGTCACCAGATGGGTAATAATCCATGAAAGTCATACAGTTGGTGAAAAATTCATCGAAGTTAAAGGAAGGGGGTGTTTTTAAGAACGTAACCTAAATTTTTAAAAAAAGAGATGATTTTGGTCATTCTGAGGGCTGTCTGGTCCTTTGAATGTAGTTTCTTAGCACAAAGGGCAGGGAGCGTGCTTTTGAAATGTCGTGATATGTGTTTGAAGGACATGATAAACAGAGGCGGGCACACTTAACCAAAGGAGGCATTTCATTTGGGTGCCATTATATTAAAAAACCTCTCCGATTAGTCATCACGACCTCGACCTTCAGTATCTTGCCAGATACAGCTATTCCAGGGCTACACTGTATGCTTTCCCATTCCTGGAACTTCTTTTTTTTCTCTCCCATAACATTTTGACTTAAATGAAACCTGGTTAAGTTATACATCACTTCTTTCTCATCCATTAGGAGGGCCTGGTGCCCAGAAAGGCATTAGGAACATCACCAATAAGGAGATTCACATTAAATCACAAACCTATGGCATGATTCATGGACCCTGGCCCAGCCCCACTCCTAGGGTGTTCTTGCCCCCCGTTTATCTTCTCTAAATGGATAACCTTATCCAACAGTGAGAAACCACCAGGCAAAACCATATGCAGGGACATTCAACCAAATAATTGACTGATACTCAAGAATTCTTAAGCATCCAGGTCATCAAAGACACAGAACAGCTGAAGGCCTCTGTCACAGCTCTCAGGGGACCAAGTAACAGCGGCAGATGTTGCGAGGCAGTGGTGTGAGGTTGCCGACGGAGTCCCGGACTGCTCCACAGAGGGCATTAGCGGGACACCTGGCGCGGTCCACATTTAGGTCTTTACTTAGTGAACAATCTTGGCCAGTACTGGTTTTCTGGTTTTGACTCTTGCACTCTACTTATGCTAACATTCGGGAAACTGGGTAAGGGATAAATGCAAACTTATTTTTTAACATTTTGGTGAGTCTAAAATAAATGAAAAACTACAACAGGTTTTAAAGGCATAATGAATGATCGAAGATGGGGATGGGCGCTGTGTTAGCCAGCTAGGTCTGGGTCTGGAGGGGAGGGCGAGGCAGGGACCTGAGGGCAGGCACTCTGGGGAAGCCCCTTTTCGTGGCCAGCCTCCCGTGCATTCTCTTCTCCCCTGTGTGCCTGCCTGTCGGCTGGCAGCAGGCCCTTCCCTCCCAGGTGTGCCCTCAGAGCAGTTTCTCTGCACCGGCTGCGTCCCAAGGACAGTTCTGTTTAGGGTCAGTCTTCCGCTTAAGCACAGTGTTTTCTACGAGGCAGGGTCACATGTCTCTCTTCCCTCCCAGACTCGGCTGGCCCTGCTCGCCGCCAGCCCCCACCTCCGGGCTCCCCTGCCCTGAGTTAGGAGGGTGTGGAGGCCGTGGCTGAGCTCCAAACTACAGCCTCTGCTTCTAGGGAGCAGCTGGGGAGCCCTCCTGCCTCTTAAGCAAAGGCACTAGCCCCCCCCACCCTGGCCACCTCGGTACCCAGGGCCCACATCCATGGCTGCCACAGAGATGCCAGGTGCTTCCTCTCAGGCTCACCCAGTCTAACTGCTCACACTGCCCGAGTCCCCAGCCCTGGGGTCCTCTCTCACGGGCCCTGGCGCGGTCCCAGGCTCAGCCTCATACCCACCTTAACTGCCCTCTCATTTGGAATCCTCTCGATCTCAATCATGCTGCGGTCACAGAGCTGCCAGCAGTTTGGGGACAGAATGACGTCGTTCATCTGTGCCATGTTCTGTGCAAGGCGCACATCTTCTACCACCTGGCCGGCCATCACGAAGTGGTTGTGTGTTTTATCTCCAAAGACCAACATGGTGATGTGGCCAGCGGCCAGGCCTGGCCAGAAGGCAAGGATAGGTTCACACAAGGAGGTCTGGGCCATTCCCCAGCATCAGTTCCTGGAAAAACTAGAATCTTGCTGTGACTACTATGTCAGAGCAAACTCTAATTTCTAAGATTTCACACAGAAAGCAGAGACTGCCTCCTCTGAGCCGGGCTTTCCAGAGCGCTTCTCCTGAACCTAGAAGTCAGCTACTAGTTTTCACCCTTCTGTGACGGCTGTTGCCCTAGTTTATTATACTGATGGCAACCAAGAACAACTTTATTGATCCTGGCTGGGGGAAGATTTGCCTTTTGTCAGACATGGAAGCTTTGACTAAAAAGAAACCTTGTGAGTGGAAGTTCAGGCAACAGTCAGAGGGGAAGGTGAGGAAAAGGGGAAGGCACGTGAATGTCAGGTGGCCCCGCCACAGGGAAAAGAACCAGGTGTCCCTGCCATGTGAGGGTCAGGTGGCCCTGCCACACATCCTCAAATTGTTTTGAAAGTGGGAGCTGAAGGGTTTGGTCCCGGAGCAACAGGAGAGAAAATAAGAAAGAATGACACGCACACTAAACGCAGGTGTAAATGAGTGTAAGTGACACACGGTTCTTTTAAACAACTGTGATTAACCCTAACTTGTTTTTTATCTTTGCTATTCTCTGTGTTGATTTGTCAATGCTGATTCACCAAGATATATGGACACACACGGTTGTATATATATATATGCATATAGTTGCATATATACACAATGGTTGTATACACACACAGTTGTACATACACATGGTTGCACAGACACACACAATCTGTTTCCCTCTGAAACACACTGAAGCTCAGCTCAGTGCACAAAGTGCCAGCCCATCAGCAGGCACACGGAGGGTTTGTGTCCCCTCATTCCCAAGAAAGATAATACATCAGACTTGCTAGCTGCTCACTTGGGAAAAATACTCAGTATCACAATGATTTTGATTTTATTCAACAAAAGATTTAACTTGGACCTTTTCAATAACCAAAAGAAAGCTGAGAAGCTGCTAACTGGATCACCACTGATAATGCGGAAGTCTATGTTTACAAAGTGTCCTTAGGTGGCAGCTAACACCAACGCACCACCTGTGGCTTGTCACACCTCTCAGAACCCCTTCCTCAGCTGTGGAACAGCCACACGATGCCCCTACCTCAGGACTGTGGCGAAGCAGAAATGGCCTAGCATGTGTGATGCCCACAGCCAGTGTGGAAGTGCATGTAATCATATTACACGCAGGGACTTGTGGGGCCTCTGTCTGTGGGGCAGGTGACCTGGAAAGTGTTCCTTGTGGTAGGGGATCCCTGGTCTTAGGACACTGCTCAATTTACATGGTCACCAGCTACTTGTGTGGACAGTACCCACTGTGGACAGCGCCAAGACTTGTGAATAATAGCAGTGACAGCGACAGTGCCCATGGAGACTGGGTGCCAGTAACACCCTAACTAGTCGAACTGACTTTTTGCAAGAGCCTGTGAGTAGGTACCAGGATGGGCTTGAGGCCTCAGCTGGGCAATGAGGCTGCCCCAAATCACATTCGGGTCAGCCTGACCCTAAAGCTCAAGCCATGATGTGGGGCCGAGCCACGCGTTCTGCCGTTTCTCTTCGGGAGAGATGCCTCAGGAGCCAGCCTGCATCCAAACGGGTGGCACCTCTTCTCTCTCAAAGGCTTACCTATCTTAACTCGGACGTCCAGGCCTTCCTTGGGCTCCTGGGCCTCAAGCAGCCGGTGGACCTCCAGGCTGCACTTCACCGCCACCGTGATGGTGCCTTTCAGCCGCTCCCGCCCCACCTTCCAGATGGCCAGCAGCGCGTCGCCTTGGAGTGACAGACACACGGGGCCTCTGGACCTGCCCTGGGGTGGATCTGCCCCTGGGGCCAGCCATCCAGGGGCCGCCCTGCCCACGCCTCGGGCCGGCGCCGTCCCTTCCGGGCTGCCTGCCGGGAGCTTGGGGCCCCCACCCCGACCCCACCGCCGGGAGCCCGTACCTGCAAACTTTAAGATGTCTCCTCCAAAATTCAACACTTCTGAGGAAGGAGGGAAAGAAGGGAAGTCAAACCCTGCGTTCTGAAAACTCATGGAATGAATTCCTTCGTCAGTGGAATGGAAACCAGGCCAAGAGCACCTCAGCTCTGAGAAGGGGCTTACGCCGCAGGTGCCACCGCAGACGGGGCGCCCCACCCGCCCGAGGTCCCCTCCTGCGGGGCGCACTGAGCGGGGTGCTGGGCTGCTGCGGACTGGAAGAGACTGGAAAGGAGGAGGTGGGGCCGCAACGAGGCCCAGGACAGCTGCCTACCCCCTGCCCCCCAGAGGGAGCCCGGGGCAACGAGCGACCGGATCCCTCCAGAATCAGCAAATTGGGAGACATCTGTGATGAGCTGGGGTTTTCCTGTAATCTGCACTCTGTTTGGGCTTTCTGACAGAAATGGGCATCTTTCCCCCCCTCTTTACGCATCATCACAAATTTGTTGAGCACAGTTGTGCCGAGTGGGATGCAGAAAGGCATCTGAGAGTTTCTGCTTTAAAGGAGCTCCGAGGTTTGTCCAGTGGGCGATGCTCAGACATGACCAGGAAACTCAGCGCCCGAGGAAAGGGTAGGTCCGAGTTCACCTTGATCAGTAAGTCCGCTTCCTCATGAGCAGTTTGAAGTACTGGTGCGGCAAGGTGGAAGGCAGAGACTGAGAAGGGACCGAACTTCTCCGTCCCCTGTCCGTGCCTCAGAAGCCAGCATCAGGAGACGCACGGCCGAGACCACGCGTCCCCAGCTGTCCCTACGGCCTTCTCTCAGTGCCTGCGTCCGGGCTCTGATGCGAGACTTGGAGCCAGTGACTGTCCCTGAATGTACTACCCCAGGTCCTTACAAACGGTATCTAATTCAGTCATTTAACTGATTCATGCCAAGCGTCCTTTGGCGCCCATAGTCTGTATTGGCGGGGCAGGTGACATCCCCTCACTTGTACTGTACTTCAAGAAAGACTGGTTTCGTGCACATTTCATGGAGAAATTAAAGAGTGCTGAGGAATAGTGCTCTGTGAGGTCATAACGGATCAGTGCAGGGAAACAAGGAATTGAGATGCACGTAAGCCAGGAGCCCATGGGGAGGGACACTCACTCTCCACGATTGCGCTGATGTGGTAGTTGAGGATCTCCACCAGCTGCTCGGCCCCGCGGTCCATGTACATGGCTCTGCTGAACTTCTCTGTCATTTCAGTAAAGCCTGTAATAAACGTACAACAGGTTTCCTTGGCCCCTTGGGGGAACCAAATAGTCAGGAAAAGAGCGTGCTGGGGAGCAGTGGGTTTCTTCTTAATGGTCTTTGTGGCTGGTCAGCTATCAGATATGCAGTCTCTGCTATCTCTATTTACTCTTCTAAGGTCAGGAAAAGACGTCAGAATCCTCTTTCCTCCAAATTTCTCAACTTATACTGAGATGACTGCAGTTCCTTTGACAGGCTGTAGAACTCCCATCCCCAAACAGTGAAAACACAGAATTCAGACACCTTTGAAGAGGTGGCAAGTTTGCTGTTAAGATGTGAACACCACCTGGAAAGACCATTTCCTGAGGCCAGTGTGGCCTGGAACAGGGGTGGGGTTTGGGGAGTCGGGTGGGTGAGTTTGGGGCCGGGAACTGGAGCCTGAGTTCCCAGGCGTGGGATGTGGGCATCGTGCAGATTTGCCTACGACTGCGACACACTGAGTAAGGGCAGATGAGAGCGGCCCTGCCCATAGGCCCTCCTCCCTGTTTGCCTGGCAGGGACGTCCGCCACGGCGGTGCACAAGCTCAGAAAGGGCAGGCGCGCTGTGCAGTCGGGCTTCCGGGAGAGCCAGGTGTCCACCCACATGAAGCAGCTCTGTTGCACTCGCCTGAAATATCCACGAACATCAAGACCCCGTCAAAATGGTCCACAGAAGGCAGCTCTGGGGAGAAAGGCCGGTAGACGATGAGGTCCGGCAAGTGGGCTGCTATTCGGACGATGGCCCTGTGCTGTGAGTCTTCTCCCTGGGTGTTCATGCTCAAGGCCAGTGTTCAGGGGCTTCTGGTCACAGCAAAGAGTCCCCAGATAGACCTTCTAGAAAGAAAGGCCGAGAATGGAGGGCCTCTGACACATGCATTCGCTCACTCTCCCATTTCTTCTCCCCTTTTCCTAACCTGGGGCTACCGCTTTGAGAGATGGATTGACGACAGTGCCTGAGGCTTCGAGCCGTACTTTATAAGGGCGAATTTTCTAGGCAGAGAACCCCTCACACTTTAGGCCTCCAGCCCTGAGCAGCTGCCATGTAATGAGCACATCACAAACAGGATGGGGTGTGAGGGGGTAGCCGAGAGGGCCCGCCTGTTCGGGCCAGCCCCATGGGAAAGGCTGGGAGCCCCGCTCTGTCCTCACGCCTCGTCTCCCCCATCCCTTCCTTCTGCTTACCCATCTTTTCTCTCTCCTTTTTGGGAAAAAAATGTGTAGATGAGAGTTTATATGTGTGAATGTTTATATTAAGGTAAATGGCAATGTGGAATATTATATATAGCAAGAGATAAAGTGTATTGAAGTATAGCCTTTGTGTGTGTGTGTGTGTGTGTGTGTGTGTGTGTGTGTGTGTGTAAGGCTTTAAACTGTTAAGTGGAAGGTAATCTTGAAATTTTAATTTGTTACCCTGTTGGTTCTAAGAAAACTAGGATTTCCTAAGACCTTCCATTAGCTTCTGGGGCCCATTAAATGCCCATGCCTGGATGTTGTAAAAATCATACTCTGCCACCCTGAACAGGAGTAGCATCCCCAGCTTTTGCAGAGCAATCTGAGTTCTTGGAATATGAGAATATTCCACAGATAATAAGAGAATTTTTTTTTTTATTGAGGAACTGTCACCAACCGACAGAAAGGCACTGGTCAGTGATTTCAACCAGACATGGGTTGTGCTGGGTACATAAGAGGGTCAGAAGGAAAACGTGGGACCATTAACAGATATATTAAACTTAAGGAGCCATTTTTTTCCTTTTAAATCAGGGAAAACAGTATATTTAACAAACTTTAAAATTTAGACAAACCTCTAAAAGTGAGTACTGAGTATTAACTATTAGATAACATTGAAGAAGAAAAGCCCTGAGAAACTCAAATGTTACGAAATAAATAAAAGGTAGGGAAACAGGTAACCAAGGTCTTAAAAAAAAAAGCAGCATTAAAAACACAATAAAAACCATAGGATATACCAGGAACAGTCAAGAGATAACAGGAAAATCAATCAAATGATTTCAGACAATGAATTTGGCAATTGTTATATGAGCTTATAAGAAGGGTGTGAGAAAACTGAATCCCTAGAATGAGCTGAAACTTAGGAAAAGTGCTGAAATTAAGGAAACCTAGGGGGATTTTTCAGCTTTATTGAAAGCAAGGAAATTAAGAAGAATAAGGTCAAAGCTTAAATACAATGTACTACACAGTTCTTCTTTTCTTTCTGCCTTCTGCCCTATGGAGAACTGAAAAGTGTAACATACATTGCTAAGACAGAGTGGAAGTCCAAGATAAATAAATAATGATAAAGCACTCAGTCATTTTAAACAAATTCAAGTAGCCAGCCCCAGATAACCCATGTGCACAAATCCCAGAAGAACTGACAGATATAATGTCAGTCATCTCAAAAAATAATGGAGAATAAGAGATGGGTTGAAAAATGGAGATGGGAACATTTTCTTCCGAATTTCAAAAGATGAGGTTACACGTGGATTCCAGAAAACACAGAATGGTCAGTAGGATGTATCAGTCAGTGTAAGCTAGGTTATGCTTCATTAATAAATGAGCCCAAAATCTCAGTGGGATGAAATAATAAAGGCTTATCTCATGTTCATTTCTTGCTGATGCTACATGTCCACTGTAGGCTGGCAGAGGCTCTGTCACTCTGGGAGCCAGGCTGGCATTCTGGCTGCCAAGACAGGAGGAGAGGATTTGGTGGGGTAGACGCATTCTTAAAGTGTCCTCTCAGAGCAGACATGGTTCACTTCCACTCATATGACACTGGCCAAAGCAAGCTATGTGGACACATTTAATTTCAATACGTGTGAAAGTACAATCCTACCATTTGGGCAGTGGGAGAGAGAGAGCAGAGATATTTGTGATATTATAAATATTTGATAATATATGGACACTTATATCAGCAAAAGGTGATTAAAAGGAGTAAAGCTGGATTCAGAGCCAGGGCAAACTAGCTTTGTTTCATTTTTTGAAGAGTTATTAAGCTTTAAATCAAAAGAATGCTGTAGATAAAGTATATCTTAATGTTAACAAGGCATTTGGCCAAATTTCTCACATCCTTGTGGGTAAAATAGAAAATTATAGGAGTGATAAAAATATAGTTAGCTGGATAACAACCCTACCTAGAGGACACTGATTCGTGCTAGACTGTCCACTGTGAGGGCTGCCACATGGGTATGCTAGAGGATGTAAAGGTGTAACTGGAGGGACAGCCAGTGTGCTGAATGATAGAATCAGGACCTTAAAACTGGCTGAAATAATGAAATTTCAAAACAAATGCAAAGTGCTGTTTTTAGAATTTTAACAAAATCAAATGCATAAGCATATGGTGTGAAAAACTAGGTTTGCTGCAAATTCAGTGCTATCTTTAAACAAACTTTATTGAAGCATAACATGTGCAGAACCATGCATAATTTGTAAGTGTATAGCTTGATGGACAAAGCCATGTAACCCCTACTCATGTCAAGAAAGATGGGGTTACCAGAAGCCCCTTCCATGCTATCTCCCAGTCACTTCCCCTCGTTTCTCCCCAGGGGTAACCTCTTTCCTGATTTCAAACACCAGAGATCACCTTCACCTGCTTTTAAACTTTCTATTAATGGAATCATACTAAATATATTATTTTTTGTGGCTCTCAAATGTTTGTACTATTCATCCATGTTGTTGTATGTATATCAAGATAATTTGTTTCAGTGCTGTATAGTGTTCCACCACAAAGGGTTCGTCCATTCTCCTACTGACCTGTGGGTGTTCACAGCTTTAGGCTATTAGGAATAATGCTGCTAAGAACCTTCTTGCACATGTGTTTTGGTAAACATATGTATGCATTTTGTCTGGGCATACCTAGGAGAATTGGTGGGTCATAAGATATACATATATTGAGCTTTAGTAGATCCTGCCAAAAAATTTTCCAAAGCAGTTTTACCACTTTATACTCTGCAAATAAGATATGTGTTATGTTTCTAAATCTTAGGCACCTTGGGTAAGTGGAAGTATCTGTGGTTTTGTATTTTCCTGGTGGCACGATGAAACTGAGTACCTTTCCATATGTTTTTTGGCCATTTGGATGCAATGTGATCTTAAGATACATGAGCAGTGTTCAAATCTAATCGCAGCACTGGGTTTAGTTCTGCCTACTTTATTTGGAGATAATTAATGGACTGTGGAACATGAGGAATGATGGGAGGTTGAAAATGTTAAGTCAGGAGAGGATGACATATGGATGAAAGCGGTAGTTGCCTTCAAATATTTGGGCTGAAATGTGAAGGTTGTGAAGTCACTAGGTCCTTCTGCAAAGTCTAATGCAGGCCCCCGAATTTAACCAAAGAATTGCGTTTCTTTCTCCCTCAGGTAGGGACTGGGTTTGGCTAAGTGAGAAGGTTCGTGACAAGGCTCAAGAGGGAAGGAGAAGGAGGCTTTGATTCCTCAGTGGGGAGAGTTAGTTCATAAAGCGCAGGTGAGCCCCGTGCTGTGGCTTCTGCAGGCATGGGTGCTCTGAGGCGGCCTCCACAGTGCGCGAGTGGCCACAGGACCGAGATGGGGCCCAGATGGGACTGAGTGGGGCTGAGCAGAACCGAGCAGGTCTAGAGCTCTGTTCTCCCTTCTCTCATTGCTGCTCTTTGACTTTCTCAACCTTGTCCTCTTTGGCTACCACTTGTAAGACTGCCAGACTTAACAAACAAAAATATAGGACACCCAGTTAAATTTGAATTTTAAAGGAATAGTGACTGTTTTAAACTTAAACATATCCCCAATATCACATTTCATCCAGCAAGCCTACTTCCAGCCTGTCAGCTTTGGCAATACCCCACCTGCTCACAGGCCCAGTATAGAATCTTTCACTTCACTTTGAACACTGTGTTGAAAGTGGGTTAGATTTATTTTTTGTTCCTCCAAAAACATTAATAGGGTCAATGGCTGGCAACCACCGGGAAGCAAATCTGAGCAACGTGAGGCTGACCTCCACACCCTGGTGGTCCCAGGAAGTACTGTATTTCCTCATGAGAGGCCATCTGCCTGGGGGTGTTCCTTGTATTACGGGAAGATGAATTAGATGGGTGCTAAGACCCCAATGCTGTGCTCTGAATAAAGCGTACAGCTTTACTTCTGAGTTTCTCATTTCCAGGCAAGGAAAGTAGATGCATTTGGAGACTAAGATGACAAGCAGACAAGGAAAACCAGAGTAAGAGTTATTTGTTCATGGGCTGGAAAGGTGAAGACATCTAAAATGAACACCTGGGAGTTTTTCATATGAACACCCATAAGAAGACAACAGAAAATTTCTATTTTACAAGATTTCATTTTCTGCCTGAAATTCCACATCAGAAAATGCTTAAAGATATTTACAGTGTACAGGCACATATCACATTGTAATTTTTATTTGTTGAGACCTCTCTGTGTGAAGCATTTTACATAGGTCGCCTCATTTAGCCCTCCAAGCAGCCCCGTGAGGTGGGCCTGACACAGAAGCTGAGATTCCCAGATTAATTCACCTTTGCGCACACAGCTGAAAAGCCCAGGTCTGTGGGATCAGAAAGTTCATGTTCTTTTTACTAAACCATGTGCAACCCGTTTGTATAGTCTTGTGACATAGTGGGGATGTTCATGACCTAGAAAAAAGATGCATTTCACTTTAGAGCACTTTCACTGCACAGCAATGGTACTGTCTTCAATTATTTGGTGGATCCCACCACGGTCGAGGGTGTGAACAGGGAGTGGGTGCCGAGGAGGCACTAAGGCATCCAGGAACGGGGTCATCTGAAAGCGTGGAAGGTGAACGAGCACCAGAGGCACGTTGGAAGTTCCCGGCGGGAAGGAGAGTGTGTGTGGTTTCATTCTGCGCAAGGTAAACTCAGCAGCACCCAAGAATGAAGATGAATTTAAAGATGAATTATATCCATTACTGTTTCTCTAAATATCTCTTCTAGAAACTTCTAATTTGTTTCCATCCGTATGTAAAATCAGGTTTTTACGAAGAAGGAGGTACTCTGAGCTGAGAGGGATGCTGTTGCCGGTGTCAGTCCCTGATACGCCGTAGTCAGGGCAGCCTGTCCTCCGTGCAGTTTCGGCCCTCAGTGTCCACACCTTTGGGCCTTGTTTGCTATTTAAATAGTGGACTGTCTGCAGATCTGTCTATGGTACGTCTTGCACTGACTTGGAGGGTCCCCTTTAGAGACCGCGTTCTGCCCTTGTTTCCTCCACAGGGTCTTTTCTAGCGCCGCCCCGCCCTCCCCGCCGCCCCCAGCCCAGGGTGGACATTTGCTGTCTGACGACAGATAAAAAGGCGGTATCACGTGAGGTAGATAAAGACGGTCAGCCAGAAAGCCAGGGCAGCCAGGACAAATAGGATGGGGTGACATTCAAGCTCTCAAGGATCCGCCCTCACTTAAATGACACAGAAACGTGCACAAGATGAACCTGGGCCCCCCGCCCCAGGTGCCGCTTTGCTCTAAGTTCCCAAGCCGGTCTTGTCCGCAGAGGCGGCCGTCGTCCTCAGCTTGGCAACCGTCCTGCCCACCGAGAGGCCCCCTCCCACGTACCTTCTCGTTCCCCGAGGCTGCGAAGCCGCGGCCCAGTTCAGGGACCAGACCTTTCAGGAGCACGGGAACGGGAGAGCGGACTGGGCGGCAGTATTCTGAGCGCGGCAGGAGTGCCGCGTCTGTCTAGGGCTGACCCATGAAAGGACACTTTGGTTCTCACGCCGCACCCTCCTTGAAAGCTCATTGTTTCACAGGCGCCGAGTGGGCTTCTGATTGGCCGGGCCGCCCTCCCGCGAACGCGGAGGGCCAGGGGCTCCCTGGCTCGGGAGTCCGCGGGGTGGGGAAGCGTTGGGAGCCTGCCGCGGCCCCCCTCCGACCAGGTGGAGGGTGAGTACCCTAAAGCCAAGGATCTCCTTGGTGAGCAGGCACCCAGTTTTGGTCAATAATGATCATGGCTTTTACCAGGACTATGAAATGTGAATTATAATACATTCAGGGCCTCTCAATGTTTGTGATGTGGATTGTTGTTTGAAAAATTACACACCTGTCCTTTCTGAGTGGCCAAGTACGTTCCGCTAACCAAATTCACCCGAGATAATTTACAACCCAAATGTGGCACTGGATTTGTATTCTACATCCAATGTGACACTGGCAAATGTGTTTTGAAGAGGGCAGCATATTTTCTAACACCTTAAATCATTGTTTTGATTTTCTAGCTGTTGTGTGTATCACAACTACAATGAACATTTAGTAACACATGTAAAACTTGAATTTGAAAAAGCTGAACTGAAAAAACGTGAACATTCTTAAGTCCAGTAAATTAAAATTTACTGTTTCAAAATCTTACATAAAAGTTGTCTAGAGAGGGAAAAAAAGAGGTTTAATTATGTTTGTTGAGAGAATTTTCTGGTGTTAGTTGTGGACACAATGTTAATATCATTATTAGGATACCTCATATAACTAAACAGATCCTTTAGCGAGAAAGCCAGTCTTAATAAATACTTGTGCTGTTTATTATATAAAACAGGCTCCAATATGTTTTTATAGAGAGGAACCTGGATTTTGAGGTCAATCCTTAAGATTCAAACTTTCACCATCACTTTAACCACTTAAAAAGACAGTGTTTACTATGGAGAAACATCAGTATTGACATACTCTGGGTCAATGTTTCTTTGAAATCAATGCCAAACCACAAAAACAGGACTAATGAATTGCTCTCTCACTGAGCATTCACCCTGCCCCTGCCCCAGATCACCAGCAGCCAATTTTCTGCCTCAACCTGTGAGAGCTGAGTTCCAACAGTTATTAGCTCAGAAGGTGTGTAGATAGCTTAACACAGTACAGCCTTCTTGCAGCTAAATTAAAACCTCCTTTGTCTAAGAAAGTGCTTTTTGGGTCTACCTTCAATTAATAAGCTTACTATTTTTTGAACTTTCTATACTTTTAACACCTGTCAAGGACCAGGCATTGTTAAAACTTTATCTTAATTAATCTTTACAACAATCCTATCAAGTACCATTTTTATCCCCATTCTACTCTTGAAAAAACTGAAGTTCAGAGACAGAGGTTAATTGGACCTCACAGTTGCCATGTGGCAGAGTTGAATTGCAACCCTGGACTGTCAGACCTGGTGTTGAGAACTCGTACCTAATGAAGTCATCAGTAAGTACCTGTTAAGACAATTTTGATCGAGCATTTAGCTGAACTAGACCATCAAGTGGTTTGTACCACTGTATTTTGATGGTGTTCAGTCCCTGCACTGCCAGTAAAGACTTCTGGTATACAAATGCTAAGTGACAAGGAGTTGTGGGACTGATCACTGGATTGTGCTTCAGCGGCAGAGTTTTGGATCGGAGATGTAGTAGTTATTTAATATTTGAGATTCAATAATGGGATGGATGAGAGCTTATGGGCAAAACGGAAGCGCGGGATGGCAGTCTGCCAATGGAACTTCTGGGAACCAAGAGGAGGGAGGATCACCTGTGGCTGCATCTAAATGCTCCAATGAATCTGCCTATCAAGCAGGGCGAGGAGAAACCATGTAGGAAAGAGGCGGCTTAACTGAGAAGTGACACACCAATTCAGTAGGAACATTGTGATAAGCTTTTTGTGGCTGTCATATTTCATGTCTTTCCTAAATGCTTAACCTAGGAAATGCACACAAACACACATGTGCCCACACATGCCAAACTAATTTAACTGTGACTTAGAAAATAAGCATAATAATTTGACTTTTCAGGGCTTCTTCACTGGCTTATGTCAAATTCTCTCATCTTTTCTTCTCAAAGATGGATTATGGGTGAAGGGATAAATGATAAAAGCACAACGTTTTCAACTGCTAATTGGCAGATTTTGATCAGTTATAGTATATTATTCAGAAGTTCTTTTGTCATTGCTTCTTCACATTTAGAAAGGACTTGCCTTGTGGACTCTTCTGGCTACAATTCTAAGCAGGGCTGGTGTGCACAGCATTTCAGAAGAAAGCAGAGCGCTCCAAGTTGGAGCTGAAATCAGAGACTATTGACTACTTCGAGTAGGGAGTCATCTAAGCCCAGCCTCTCCTTACAACGGGAAAAAAGGTCACAAATATTTACAGAAAGCCAACCCATATCCCACTCTGCTAGACGCTTTCTTAACTTGCCCAAAGTCATAGATTATAAACCACAGAGCTGGGATTCAAATTCAGGTCTGAGTAGAATATCTCCTGCTATATTATCAGTTACTGAATGTTATTCAAAGACTTAAAAAATCCTTTATTACTCAGTAACTATAAAAGAATCTCACACAATAAGCAATTAACAAAAACAAAAAAAACTCAAGAGTTTTCATTTCAGGTTAAAATATTTTATAATAGTCTGAAGTCATTTTTAGCCACCGCATTGCCCGTGTCCCCCTCCCCGGCTCGCCGTCACCGCCGTCCTGTGGCTCCAGCATGCACTCTGCACATGCCACAGTGACTAGAGCAGAGGAGGCCGGCGTGCCTATGAGCAGGGGTGATTTATTAGGGGCAAACAGTAGAAAGATGTGACTGTCCATAGATAAGTTCCTTCAGTCATATGTAAAGAGACATTATTAAAAGTTTGCTTTATTTCTATTGAATCAAATACCAGCTCCTCAGGTACAGTTAGATTTCTCATACGCCTTCCAAGCTTTAGCTGTTAGTATCACCTTATCATAATCAAATAATAAATCAAACTAGGTCCCAGTGGCTGTGGACACTGTTTGGTGGTCAGCACTCTTACTCGTTGGCTTTAGCCTTTAGCTCTTGGTTGTATCTATAAAGGAAACAGAAAGACAAATAATCAAGAATTCAATAGATACATTTATGATGAGGAGGGAAGGGAAAGCACATTCCATCTCTTCTTTCTCACTTGTGGAGAGGCTATATATTTGTAAATACAATCTTCCCAGGGGCTTGTAGTTAGAAAGAGGCAGAAGGGAAAGTGACCCAAGGACTTTAATTTTGGCTTCCAACTGCCTAAAGTTTTAACAACTTAACTGACATACAGCTTCATGTACAAAAGTATTACTGTAATGAGCATTTCATTCTTGAACTATATAAGAGTATGCCAAACATGAAGGTATGTATATAATTTAGCAAAATGTGGTCATCTAGAACTTTTTATTTTACACTCACAAAGCATCTGTCCTGAGAATAAAATCAGTTGAGAATGGGAGCCTGTCAAATCACTAAAGTAAAACATACCACCACAATGCAGGCTACGAGGCTAACAGGCTGTAAGCACATGCGTTTACTTAAGCTAAGAGCTCTCCTTCAACTCTCATTAACCCAAAGGTGAATTAGCTGCAAAGCCAGAGTCCTTCCTGTCCACCGCACCCTGGGCTTCACGTACTGTCCCCCCAGCTCACAGCAGACTGGAGGAAAGGCAAGCACAAGACGACGTCACTCCATGAAGCCTGCCCCACCTCCCAGACTTCCCAAAAGGTCCTGATTCCATTCAGATGTATCAATTCTGAGATCAGAAATTCAGGTACAGTTTGACAAAAGGATTTCTGGAACCTCAGTTACATAGCAGACTGGGAGAGCTGGTTAGAAATATGAATGCTGGGCTCTCTAGAGAACTTAGGAAAACACTGTTGAATATCTGAAATCAGAACATTTTGAAAAACCTAGGAGATAAGGTAGCTTCATGGAATAAGTTCCTTCTTGTGCTCAGCTCTACTATCATGAGCTCATGTACAGTTAAAACAAAATGGTGTATGAAAAAATAGCCTGAGAATAAACGCTGTACAAATTGAAGTTTATATTGATGTAAGTAAGCCCTAAAAATGGGTGCCAGGCATACTGCAGAATGAGTTATTTATTCATCCATCCATCTGTTATGTGCTGATAATGGACTGAATTATAAAACTACTATAAAAGCTAAGGATGACAAAGATGAATGAAATTAAAGTGTATTATACTCTGCCAACAGGACACCTTCTGAAAGGAAGGGAAATTGTAAGTCCATATTTTCTGTTTCTTCACTGAAATCATTCAACATTTTTAGCCAAAGAAAGCTATTATTCATGACATTGCTTTGTAATTTAGGGACGGTTCTATGCCTCAAACAAAGCCAGGCCTTCACCTAAGATGAGCTCATTGCAGTGTTAACTGGTCACTGACAAGTCACGTTAGCTGAGTAAATAGCGTGACAATCTCCAGGGCTCAGGGAACACTTCCCAACGAAACCAGCAGCGCCACTCTAGATATCATTTCCAATACTACACGACTATACAGCTAAGTCCCGCTTACTATGTGTGACTGACAGTGAGTGACGAAAGGCCCATGCAGAAAGTTGCTTGATCTATCATAAATGGTATCATTTTGTTAACAGAAGAGATTCTATAGAAGGGCTATCCACCTACATAATACAGTTAGATTTAAAACCTAGGTAACATACTGCTTAACACTTTAACAAAAACCCCCCGACTTTTCTAGAAATACTGAATTTCTATTTCAGTGACATCCTACCTTAACATGATCTGTGAAGTACTGCCACCTGGGAGGCTTCTGAGACGGCCTTTCAATACCTTAGGAAGGCTTACCTCCAAATACGGAAGAGCTGAGAGGCTCCTGCTGCCCCGACGAAGAAATTAACAGCAAACAGACTCCAGTTTTTGGGAATAATTACAAGCGAGTATCTTGACCAAATAAACCCTGTTGAAACAAACTCTTTTTAAAAAAGAGCGCAGGTACTGCTGCAGTATCTTACCTCAACATTTACTATTAGGGTAAAGTAACTATAAATAAGACTATGACAACATAATGTGGGAAAAAGGACAAAGAAATGCTATACTGGGTCTTTAATAAACTCACTATAATTCAGTGTTACACAAAACACCCAGTTCTTACTTCAAATGGAAATTGTTATAGGGCAAATGAATATTAACTGCAACTTTTTTTCCTACTTATAAAAATATGTTCGTGGCAAAACTTGGAAAACAAAAACCCACTCAGATACTTATTCACAGTCAGCCTCCTCTGACTCCTCCATTTATACCTAACACCACCCGAGAGGTAACACTGTTAATGCCTTTGTGTGTGAGAACATGTGCATGTATTTAGAACATCAAACTATCAAATAAACTGATGTTAAGACAAAACAAGAACACTCCATGTCCTATACGGAACACGGAAGATACTCATTTATTTTACCTGTAGCCATTAACACAGCAGACTGAGCCGTGCTGAGCTTTTCCGCAGGTCTGGCCATATCCGCCAAGCCAGCACACACCAACCCCTGGAAACGCACAGTCACACACAGAAAGGAAGGAGCCTCATGAGTAATGATTCTTAGCTCTAAATAAAACACAAACTGTTTCAGAGTTCCGTGATAGTAGCTGTAATTTTAGTATCCACCACCAAGAAAGTATATGTCATCACAAAAAGCTACAACAAATTCGTGAATGCTCTCTGAATTAATTTATATTTTGTTAACCAGATTAGGCAGCCTTGTGTGTTTGAAAATCAGTTGTGTGTGTGTGTGCGTGTGTATTCTACAAATGCTACTTCACTTACAAATTTATATATTCACATTCTTTGTACATGTTTGGAACCACTGGTGTGGATGCCTGAAAGCTATTTAAGGTAATTTGTCAGTAATATTTTTGTCAATGTTACTCTTTTTAAAAAGTGGACGTATCAGAAAAGTTCTAATTTGGTTTCTTGGTTAGGAAATTTTCTTTAATGTCCAAGTGTACATGGTCATTTCTTCAGGGCTGTGTTTTTAACGCTGTCTTTTGCAATCATGCCACTCATTCCCTGCCGATGGAATCTCCCAGAAAGTTTAGTAACGAGTCTTCACTAGATTATTAGTCATGCTACTCTACTGTAGAGATTAGAATGTATAATAAAATGATTTTTAATAAAATGAAAAATTCAAACCTACACAGAATGAGAGAAATTACCCAAGAACCCCTACTTACCCTCCCTGAGAGTTGGCTACTCGCTGGGGCTGCCACACACGCCCCACCTCCCCTCCCCCCTTTCTCTTTTTCCCTTCAGGTGCTCTAAATCAAATCCTAAATATGTCATTAGACAACGTTTTTAAGAACTTATTTTCAGGTTTTACTGAGTTTCTAAAAGATGCTCTTGCCTGGAAAATAAAAATCAGCAAAGGGTTTTGCTCCTAAATAAAAAACACATATACCTGTGAATTTATACACAAATTTAACCCAGATCCAAATGATTTTAAACTAATAAAGCCAACAGTTCAAAGGCAGTGATTCTGTTTTACAAAGGGGAAATGTTTAGATATCGGAGTATAATCAGAGGTAACCATGGCCAACATTACTTTCCTCCTTAATTTTTACCCGCATTCCTGGGATTTCCTTCCCAAACGCTTCCAAATCAGCCCTCCTTATGTTCTTCTTCCAGGTCCCAACATGTTTTCCTGTTTCATATTGTTTTACTTCTGCAGGTGGAATACTGCCATTGTATAGGGAAGAAAGGACTGACTTCTACTATTCTCCTGGGTCCACGTATTACATTGTGGCTTGAACAGATCTGTAAAGAAGGTAGGCTATTCTAGCATTCTCTTTTGGAAGAAGTCAGTGGCCTCTATTTTGTTTATACTCGCAGTCCACACTTAATTTTTCTCGGACATGTTAGTAATTGTTCCCTCCCACAGGGGTCTTGAGCTCCTTTCCTATTTCTACATCCCTCTAATCTCATGTAGATATCTTAAAAAAATCTCATTGTGAATCTAATCTCTGTTACTTACTAGCTGTGTGACTTTGGTTAAGTTACAAAACACTAGTCTTAAATTCCTCATGTATAAAATGAGAATATTAACAGATCCTTTGCAAAAGTGATGTATGATTAAATTAGATAATTTTCTTTGAGAGTATTTAGTACAGTACCTGTAAAATATTATTAACAAAAATAATAGTAGCTTACATCTTTAGAGCAGCAGAGATAAAGGAATAATGGTTTCTATATCCTTGCCTGCATTCCTAGCCTCAGGATAGAGGCCAAAGGTCTGTATTTCTTTTCACCTTTGTCCAAGTAATAGAACTGTAGATTCAGAGACTGCTTAGAGTGTACCATGAGACTGTGTAAAACATTAACACACAAAAAACAGTACCAATTATAGATAGATCCGCAGTGGCTATGTTAAAGGCACACACATAAGTGTTTGAGAGCATAGGCTTTGGAGTCAATAGGCCTGGGGGTTAAAATCCTGACTCTGCCCCTCAACTAAAGACAGTATATTCATCCACCTTATTCTTGGAAACTCAATTGCCCTTATCTGGAAAATGGTGATAATCTTTGCTTCTCAGATTTTTTTCTGTTGAAGATTAAGTATAAGATAATGTGTTAGATAACCCAGTACAGACAGTTTGGCATCTTAGGCGACTCAAGTTAGCTCCCATTGTCTCCATCAATTAAAAAATGTTTTTTAAATGTCTGAAGCCCAAGTTTGTGATTCTGGCACCTGATTACCTCCACTGAGTGGGGTAAATAGTCCTCAGATAGTATAAAACATTTTTTTCCCTTCATTTCTTTCTGGAAATCTGACATTTGTAGAGGAGTATCAAAGAAATGAAGTACTACTAAAGAATATTCCAAATTCCAAAATGCTTTAGATGGCAAAGCCCTGAAGATTTTAAACTGTGAATTAATCTACAGAAGTAGTTCTAGCTGGAAAGCAAATAGGTTTTAAAAATCTGCATTGGATAATCCCAAAATAGTCTGACTCATTCCTAAGGAGAAAATAGAAAAATTAGCTACATTAAACAGTATGTTGTTTCAGAGTTAAGGTAACCCAGTCTGTGCAAAGACTATGAACAAAAATAAAGGATGCTCTCCTAACTCACCTTCACATACTTTCCCCAGGTGAGCCAGTGACCTCCATTCCTTCTGTAAACAGGCTAACATATGCCCATGGCATGTGGAATACTTGTGGCTAGTGGTCTGTTAATTCTGTATCACCCTAATGCATTTTTGTTCCCACCAGCTGAGTTGTGTTTTTGTCAAGTCACTGTGTTTGTCCTCAAATGTAATTTACATAATTTAATTAACTACAAAAAGAGAGTTGTTATTTCTATGAAAATTAAAGTGACTGCTTGGGAAAGATGAATAAAGGCAAGTTGTTAAAAACTGCTGTCAAGTTAGGGGTGACTGAGACAGATATAAAAATATTGGGGTGCAGGAAACCATAAAATCCAGCAGTTTCTGTTCTCAAACTTTTATGAAAGTGTCTATGAACTTGCTCTGCTTTAAAGAAAACTAAACAAAATTATATAGGATGCACTATATGGTGTGATTCATCCAAGAAAGATGTGGGATTCAAAATCAGTGGATATATGTACAATTGAAAGCTTTGGCCTTACAGTAGATGATTGGCAAATGAGGAGAATATATTATATTCTCTAAGCTAAAATAAAATATTTAAGGTATATAAGTATTTATAAATATTGTTTTTTAGGATTAGTTTGATCTTTATGATTAATTATTTGGCTTCAAGAAGTGACCAGACTCCACCATAAATGTCTGAAGTAGTTAAATATTGTTAATCTAGAACATTTATGACTGGCAGCAGTAATTGTTATGTGTCATGTATAGACTACCATCTATTATCAAATCCTCTGGGGTAAGAAGACACAGTAATACATACATTAAAAAAATTTAGTCAAAGAAGTCTCCCTACCGAGAATAAAAACAGGGAAGTTTCTATGGCTGTGCTGTTATCAGGAGACTATGTATGGCTTCAACATGAACTTAAAATAGATGTTTTTAAAGGAGACAATCAAGAATGCACTTATAAGTATATAATACTGTCAATGTTTCAAAAGCACTGATGTTTCAAAATACAAAACCTAGGATAAAATCAATAAACCTCCAAACTGTGGCAAATTTGAGGTCAAAGGGGACCCCAAATTTATTACATATGAATTAAATCATTCTTACTCTTTTAATAATGGTGCTAGAAACAATACTTCAGCAATCAACTGTACCATATAGGTATATAATAACTATATAATTTTCAGTGTTGGTAGGAAGAGAAGGGAAATAGTAATATACCTTAAATAGTATTTTTTTTTTTGCACATCACACTATTCAATGTTTAGAGCAGAACCATTAAAGATGATATATTAAAACTTTTTTTACTTGATGGAACCTTTTCTCAACATATAAATACAGTAAAGAACTGCTCTGTTCCTAACCACTAATCTATCCTAATCTTGTCATTTTATAGTTTAGGCCAACTGGCAGAGACATAACTCACCTAAGGCTGTAAAATTGAGGGCCAGCCAATTCCAGCTCTAACATTCTCAATTACTTATATTTACAACTGAATTTCTGAATTGTTCTAACAACTTAAAACAGTACATTTAAGATAGTTAAAATAGACTACAACTCCACAAAAAAAAATAACTTGATTAAAAAGATGGGCAAAGGGCTTTAATAATAGACATTTCTTCAAAGATATACAAATGGTCATAAACACATGAAAAGATGCTCAGCATAACTAACCAAATTGGAGAAATGCAAATCAAAGCCCTAATGAGACACCACTTCACACCCATTAGGACGGCCATTATTAGACAGCAGTGAAAGTCTCAAGGTTGAAGAGCACAGGGAGAAGTTGGAACCCTTGTGAACTGCTGGTGGGAATATAAAATAGTGCATCCTGTGGAACAGCTATGGTGGTTCCTCAAAATAATACAGAATTACCACATGATCCAGAACTGAAGGCAGGGAGTGGGATGGGCACCTGCGCAGCACTGTTCTCTACAGCCAAAGGGCAGAAGCAGCCCAGGCGTCCACCAGCAGATGGATGGATGAATAAATTGTGGTTTGTATATACAACAGAATATCAATGAGACTTAAAGAGGAAAGAAATACATATGACACGCATGAACTTTTTAAAGGTCATTGTGTTAAGTGAAGTCAAGCACAAGAAGAAATACTGTCTGATTCTAATTAGTGATCCCTGAAGTCAAATTTATGGAGCCAGAAAGCAGAATAGTGGGGGTGCTGGGGTAGAGGAGGGGATGATGAGAGAGCTGCTGATTACACAGAGCTTTAGTTTTGTAAGATAAAGAGTGCTGGAGATTGGCTGCACAATGATGTGAATGTACTTAACACTATAAAAAGCAGTAAATTAAGGCGAGAAATTCTATGTGTACTTTACTGCAATTAAAAAAAGCAGACTACCATGGAGACCAGTAGTTTTTTAATTTCATCAAATGTACATCACAGTGGTTCAGCAGTTCCTCTCCTCCTGTCCCCATCCACTTCTCTCCCCCTTGGTAACCACTAGTCACTTCTCAGTGTCTATGAGTCTAATGCTGTTTTGTTCCTTCTGTTTTGCTTTGTTTTTATATTCCACAAATAAGTGAAATCATACAGTATTTGTCTTTCTCTGCCTGGCTTATTTCACTGAACATATACTCTCTAGATCCATCCATGTTGTTGCAAATGGGAGGATTTCTTTTCTTTTTATGGCTGAATAATATTCCATTGTGTATATGTACCATCTCTTTATCCATGGATACTCAGGTTGCTTCCATATCTTGGCTACTGCAGACGGCATGGCGATAAACATAGGGGTGCATATATCTTTTCAAATCAGGGATTTTGTTTTCTTCAGGTCAATTCCTGGGAGTGGAATTACTGGGTCAAATGGTATTTCTATTTTTAGTTTTTTGAGGAACCTCCATACTGCTTTCCACAGCGCTAGCACCAATTTGCAGTCCCAATAAACAGTGTAGGAGGGTTTCCTTTTCTCCACATCCTCACCAACATTAGTTATTTCTTGTCTTTTGGATGTTGGCCATCCTAACTGGTGTGAGGTGATATCTTTTTGGTTTTAATTTGCATTTCCCTGATGATTAGTGATGTGGAGCATCTTTTCATGTGCCTGTTGGCCATCTGTATTTCTTCTCTGGACAAGTGTCTGCTCAGGTCCTCTGCCCATTTTTTGATCAGGTCATTTGTTTTTTGGGTGTTGAGGCATATGAGTTCTTTATATATTTTGGATGTCAACCCTTTATCAGATGAATTGCTTATGAATATATTCCCTCATACTATAGGGTGCCTTTTTATTCTGTGGATGGTGTCCTTTGCGGTACAGAAGCTTGATGTAGTCCCACTTGTTCTTTTTTTATTTTGTTTTCCTTGCCCAAAGAGATGTGTTCAGGAAAAAGTTGCTCATGTTTCTTTATATTCAAGAGATTTTTGTCTATGTTTTCTATGAGTTTTATGGTTTCATGATGTACATTCAGGTCTTTGATCCATTTTGAGTTTACTTTTGTATATGGAATTAGACAATACTCCAGTTTCATTCTTTTGTGTAGCTGTCCAGTTTTGCAACACCAGTTGTTTCTGAGGCTTCTTTTTCCCAATGTATAGTCATGGCTCCTATATCATATATTGACTATGTATGTGTGGTTTTATATTTGTACTCTCTGTTCTGTTCCATTTATTGATCTATGGGTCAGTTCTTGTGCCAGTACCAAATGGTTTTGATTACTGTAGCTTTGTAGCAGAGCTTGAAGTCAGGGAGCATGATGTCCCCCCAGCTTTATTCTTCCTTCTCAGGATTGCTTTGGCTATTTGGGGTCTTTTGTGGTTCCATATGAATTTTAGAACTATTTGTTCTACTTTACTGAAGAATGCTTTTGGTATTTTGATAGGGATTGCATTGAATCTGTAAACTATTTGGACAGGATGACCATTTTGACAATATTAGTTCTTCCTGTCAATGAGCATGGGATAGATTTCCATTTTTTGGTGTATTCTTTAATTTGTTTCATGAGTATCTGATTGTAGTTTCCAGAGTAGAGTCTTTCACCTCCTTGGTTAGATTTATTCCTAGGTATTTTACTCTTTTCGATGCAATTAAAAATGGGAGTTGTTTTCCTGATTTCTCTTTCTGCTAGTTGTTAGTTTATAGGAACCCAACAGATTTCTGTGTATTAATTTTGTATCCTGCAACTTTTCTGAATTCAGTTATTAGTTTTAGTAGTTTTTTGGTGGAGTCTTTAGGGTTTTCTATGTAAACTGCAAATAGTGAGAGTTTAACTTCTTCCTTACCAATTTGGATACCTTTTATCTCTGTGTTGTCTGGTTGCCATGGCGAGGACCTCCAGTACTATGTTGAATAAAAGTGGTGAGAGTGGACATCCTTGTCTTGTTCCCCATCTTAGAGGAGAAGCTTTCAGCTTTTTGTTAAGTATGATGTTGGCTGTGGGTCTGTCGTCTATGGCCTTTATTATGTTGAGGTACGTACCCTCTATGCCCATTCTGTTGAGAGTTTTTATCATGAATGGATGTTGGATTTTGTCAAATGCTTTTTCAGCATGTATTAGATGATAATGTGGTTTATATTAATCTTTTTTTTTAATGTTGTGTATGATACTGATGGTTTACGAATACTGTACCATCCTTGCATCCCTGGAATAAATCCCACTTGGTCATGATGGATGACCTTCTTGATGTCCTTTTGGATTTGGTTTGCTAATACTTTGCTGAGAATTTTTGCCATCTATGTGAACACAGATAATATCGTGGATATTGAGACCAGAAGTCCTTAAAGTTTAGAATGCATCAGAATCACCAGAGGGCTTATTAAAACACGTATTACTGGGCTCCATCCCAAGTTTTCAGATTTAGTATATCTGGGATGGGACCCGAAAATCTGCATTCCTAACAAGTTTGGGGTAATAACAATGCTGAGAATGATGAGTAACTCTGAGAAGCACCGCTATTGGCTCAAACTGGCCCTTTCAACATAAAATCAATGATTTGCTAGGAACAGCCAACACAACTCTTCAGTGAAAGAACTTTGTGAATGGGAGCCTGGCATAAGGTAAAAATGCTGGTCTTGGACCCAGAATCCCTAGATTATCACCTACCAAATACGAATACACACCCCTGGATAAATCCTTCTACTTTCTGAGATTAACTTTCCTCACCTCTATCTTCATGCTATTATCTTCAGGTCTCATTATAAATTAGTAATAAAAGTTAATTTGGGGGGTTCTAACTAATTTTATGCTTTAGTCTTATAACTTTATACTCAATTTTTATGTTCCTAAGGCTCACAAAGATAAGCTTTTTAACAAGTATGTTCTCAAAAATCCTCTTATCTAAGGAGCTCAGAAAAGCTAAAGTAGGTGGTATGCTTTATGCTACAAAAATGGTACATCTGAGAGTATTTATATGAAGTAATTTTAAGGCATACCATGTACATTTAGAAGTACATCCTTCTATACAAGTTACTTCAAATTAATAAGCTCCTTTTAAACAGTTTTTTTTTTTTAGTAGCTTCTACAGACTCAAGACTTACCCATTTCATAATTGGAGCCCAGAAAAAAACTGTCCTGGGACCTGAAAAAAAAAGAAAGAAAAATTTAGGAATAAACCAACTATTTTATACATGTCTTTTTAACAGCCATCACATTTCAAAAAACCAAAGATACATCAATCTATTTCTAATCATTTTTCCTATGCATTCTGCACTTTATATTTCACTTAACATTTATAAAGTCACCACAGTATTAATTCTCCAATCTGCTTGTTAATCATTTGTATTTTTGTGACCTGTTAAAAATTAGATGAAGTATAATGGGGATGGTTTTGGAAAGCATTCCCAATGCTTTGCCTTGAACATGGAACTCAATGTTAGTTTACTTAGGGATAATTTTCAAATCAGGGAAATTTCAAATAATGGGTATTTTGTGATACAAGCCCCATAGACATTTATATATTCACTAACTCTATTAATATTCACATGTTATATTAATTAATTCACATGTTATAATATTAATATTATAAACAACATGTTGCCATACGTATTCTAGTAAAAGTGATTGTAAAAATTCTGTATATTCCAGTAAAAAATTAATGAAGCTAATTTTAAAATTCACATGAGAGGGGAAAGACAGGTCTGTAAGTTGCTTAACAGCAGGGTCCCGATTTTCATTATCCTGGTACCTATCTGCCTGGGTTAAATAAATGTTAAATAAATGTTTGTAGTACTGAAAACAATTCTGGTTTCTTAGATAACCTAGGATTTGAGAAGCAGGATGTTGCAGAGCTGGGAGGACACTCAGAGATCATTAATCCAAATCCTTCATTTTAGCAATGAGGCTCAGAAGTTCTGTGACCTGCTCAAGTCCTGCAGCCACTAAGCAGCAGAGCTGTACCTGGAATTGAAGTCTTCTAACTCTTAAACTAGTGCCCTTTAACTGCTCATTTTTAACTTCCAAATTGTACATCTCTTTTAACCTGGATGAGGACACAGTGACAGGAAAGAAATAGAATTTCCCCATGGAAATTTAAAATGTATCTAAGCATGCTAAATGTAATACATATCAAAGCAGTTAATATGGTACATATGCTTTCACACACTGAATCAACAAAATACATTTATTTCTTAACACACAAATTAAGCAACTTGATATAATTCAACAGTGACTTATAAGCAAATTCAAAATTTTAAAATATTGTTTCAATTAAATTGTTTATAATTATTTTATTGTATTTATATTATCTAATTATATATTATGTAATTATTAAATTATTTTCTTTAAATAGATTACATTTTTAAAATTCACGAATTCTAAAATTTGTGACTTTTATTGCTGTCTTAATATTCTGCTTTACAAGAATAAATAAAATTTTTTTGAGGTCACAAAAGTCCCATCTAAAATGGCATCATCACCCAAGGATAACACATTTTATTTCATTTACTTCCAGTTAATATAGCTCAACAGCACCAGCAGGTAAAGATGCATTTATCCATTTCCTCCCAATAGGTGAATATTGACTATCATTAATAATGAGTATTTCTATTTATATATGCATAAATACCATTTAAGAGATAAAACTGACTTACGCCTATTATTTAGAATCAAAACAAAAGAAAGGTAGTAAAGGTGAAAAAGTACCACACTAAATTAAACAGACCCACTTGTAGTCCTGGGTTTAATTTGTTTTAGACAAGCCCATTCACTGACTTACCCATAATCATTACTTCATGCTTTACACTGTATCAGGCACTGTGAATGTGTTAGCAAATAAAATACAAAATACAGCGTTGGCTTTAATGACCTGAGCTCAGGAGGGCCGTTTAAGTAAAGTCATTATCTGGAAGCCATATAAAAACATTTTAGGAGAACTTAATTCTAAAGTGCTTTCATCAAAGCTACACTAGTAATATCATCATCCCAAAGTGAAAATATTTGAACTCTTTTTTTGCGTGCATTTTGGCTGAATTACTATCAAAAGTAGTTGGCTAATTTTAACATTATGGAAAGAAATTTGAAAAATGTAAAAATGCATCACCCCTCTCGGTAACTTCTTCTTCTTAACTGGTCCCAGAAAAGTGTCCCACATACAGTGTAAACTGCTTGCCTTTAGCATTATTAAATGATGGCAGTGTTACACATTTTGGACTATTCTCCCATGATTTAACATTATCCTTGGTATTTTTTTTACCCCTTTCAAATTAATCCATGTTGTTCTTACAGCTAAATTCATTAATTCACTGTGATTTAGTACAGTGGAATTTAAAAACTCTATCACAGTGTATTTTATATACAGTTGTGTACCTACATAGCTATCAAAAGTAAGACTTCTTTGAGGCTCGTAGCTAAATAGTATTCATACTTACTAGGTAGCATATCAATCTGCCTCCTAACTGATGTTGAATAAAAAGATGAGTTAGCCAAAAGTCGGAAGCAGTACAACTGGAGTTTAAACTCTAACCCTACTATGTAAATGTGTATACATACATATGTGTGCATATCCATATGCCGCCACCTACTGGCAGAGCCTGGCGTGTCATACACACCTGTGGTGCTCAGGCCGGCGCCAGCTGCCAGCAGCCAGCCCCCAACACGTCAACAGCACCAGGTTAAGAAACCCTGGCCTGTTGGACTGGCAAGCCAGGCAAACTGCTTCATGCTGGTTTATGGCTCCAAAGCTTAGTTTATGCTGTCCCAACCCAACATTCTGCCTTTCTGGCTAACTTCTAATATTCTTCAAAAAACTCTTCTTAAATTTCATCTCCTCAGGAAGCCCTCTTTGACATCTCCAGGTTATATTAAATGCTCCTTCTCTGAACTCCCAAAGCAGCCTGTATATTCTTGTTTCTTTCTGTACTGAACAATTAAAATGATCTATTTATGCATCTGTCATTTTCACTAGACAAGGCCTATTTCTTAGTTTTCCTTGACTAAGTAAATATTTGTGAACAGAACTGTGAACTGAATTTGTGAATAGTCTAGAATAGATGCTGCTAATAAAAGATATTCACACTTCAGATCTGACCCAGATTTGCCATGACACTGGCTAGAGGTTAGAGGCTGGAATCCTCCAGGCAGAATTCGCTACGTATCTCCAGGAACATCGGGTTCCCTTTCATCATACATGCACTAGACTCTCACTCACTGGTCACACCACTCACAGACCTGGTGTTCCCCTATTTGGCTCCTGAAAATTCTTCTCATAGTCTGATATAATAACCTACTAACACCCTGTAAATCAATCTTCTCATTTTCTCTTGTTATTTTACTTAGCTGGAGGTCCTATCATCACACCGGGTTTATTTTCCTGCCATACAGAAAGCCTCTGGGTCACATGCAATTTCAGTTACTAACTTTATTTTTTAATCCCTGCATGAAGTGTGGCTTCATTACTCAACAGTAAGGTCAGCACATTGTTTTCCTCTCTGGCTTTGAACTCCTCAACAGGCTTCTCTCTTCCTATTTCATATGATGCTTCCCCTTCTGTCACCCCAAAAATTGTTTCCTGAGCAATGTCTCCAGGTTCTGGTTTATTTACAAGCTTAAATGGTTGATCCTTCAAGGTTCATGAATAGTCAAGCTTTTCCGTGAAGCATGCCTGGTAACTGTTTACTCAACTGCCCCCAGCTAGGTCATAGGTTTAAAATACAAACTGCTCCTCAACCCTACAACCAGACCAAACAAAGACCTTCAAACAGGAAATGATAGTTGGTAGACCCAGGACCAAAGGCAGTATGAATATTTTAGTTACTGAATAACTTCGTAAGACAAACCCTAACCTAGTTCAAAAACTGCTAATCACTGACTAAAAATTATCAGGAAATATACAAAATGTTATAAATTTCTAGCTTTTTGGAAATATTAGAGGGTGTGACAAGTGACAAATAATCATACATCTATAAATGCAAATAAGTAATGTTTTTTTCGTTGTTAAGAAAAGGGAGAATGACTAGCAATATCTATCATCATACAATGGGTAGAAAACTTAGTTCACTCTTCGATTTTACTTAGCTAATCATTTTATATTTTAAGAGTAAATATGCCAAATAAATTTAGACATGTAGGAATTTAGGTACAGAAATCATCTTCCTATAAACAGCAAGCAAGCCATAGGGGAAATGGTAATGAGAAAGCATTCCAACTTCAGCATTTCTAAAACAAAGTTTTGACAAAACAAAGCATTTGGAAATAAATATCACTAAAACACTAAGAATACAATTCACATTGTCTTTATAGACCTGGGAAAACCAGGTTTCCGTTATACACAATGACACAGCTATTCTCAAGCATAAAAAATGGGTTAATTAGCTACCTGAAGTGATTATAATACCTTAAAATTAAGATAAGCAGAAGTATAAAGAGAACATGCACTATGATGAATGAAAACACTGGATTAGGTAGAAGTTCTGAACTGCTGAAAATATATTGAATAAAAATCTCTTAAGAAATTTAATTTGGAGTTTAAGATGAGGGAAATGTGTTCTCATTAGATATAAATGCATTCTTTTAGACAGAGAGTTAACACCTAACAACTAACACATTTTCATTTTGTTCCTTAGAAGTCCACTCTTGGAAGTTGAAAACGTCTCAAATGCCCACAGTTTGGAAATATCAAACAAACATTAAAAAAAAACTATGGACTAGTTTCAAGCATAATAAAAAAATATAGGGAATAATACAATGGTCATTTTCTTTTGTTATGGGTTTGTCTTATTTTCAAAGTGAAACGGATTATAAAGTTTAAACTTTTATAGAAGAATTTGAAAGATTATGCAAAAATGTATCACGACCAAATATGTAAGAGACATACATTTTCAAACAAACAAATCTAGCTGCCTTGATGAACTGATGAACTTGATCAAAATAATAACATAAATTTACTTCCTAATCTTATCTAAGAGGAATTACTCTTAATGAAACATTATATAAATTCTACCCCAGAAGTGTGTCATTTACTGTATGTATGATTCTCTCCCTAGGAAGTAATTCAATGAAAGCAAAGCTCTGGTGAGCTAAAATAATATGGGTCAAACAGCTGTTTTCTGGGCTGATTTAACTGAAGGGTAGTTTTTATTTTTGTTATTTTCTTCCCCAGTTTTATTGATATAATTGACATATAGTATTAGTTTGAAGTGTACAACATAATGATTTGATATATGTATATATTGTGAAGTGATTACTGTAAGATAAATTTTAGCCGAAATAAGCAGGTGAAGAGAGGCCACAAAGGGCCAGGTAGTTTATTTGAGTGCCACTCCCGGGTGATGTTCTGCAGCCTGGGTACTACAGGCCGGGGAAGTTACACCCGGTCAGGGAGGTGGGGGCTTATAAGGGGTTAGGAGGGGGAGGAGTGGGCAAACTATCCTAGGGGGCGTGGAGAGGTATGATTGGCTAAAGGTAACATAATAGCCAACTAGAAACTTTTTTCCTTCCAAGAGGGAGGAGGCTGACATCCGGGTCTTAGTTGGCACGTCAGAAGGATGGAATTCAGGAAGAGCTGTCCCCTTTCCATAAGGCACGGACCTTGGGGTCTGGTCTGTTCTTCCCCTATGGCATCTCTGTTCTGTTTGTATGTCCTTGTTTTTCCTTCCTCCAGCCTAACAATTACTACTGTAAGTTAACATCCATCACCCCACCTTGTTACACATTCTTTTTCCTTGTCATACTTCTAAGAGCTTTTACTCTCCAAGGAGATTTCAAGTATAAAATATTGTTAACTAGTTACCATGTTATATATTACACACCCCCAAACTTATTTATCTTATAATATAAATATAATACTTATTTATATTAAAAAATACAAAATATATCATAATATAAATACAAACTTACTCTTATTACCTTATAATATAAATGAAATATAAAATTATTTATATTATCTTATAACTGAAAGTTGGTACCTTTTGACTACCTTCTAGGATAGTTTTAGATTCTTTAGAGCTGTGGTCTCCCAACATCTTTTGAACACATGCCCCAATCAGAAAAAAAAACTTGAGCATACATTCCCTAGTTATATATTCATACACTGAACATAATATTCATGTTTATATATGCATAAACTATATATAGCTTAAATGTATGAACATATCTATGGTGTTTGTGTGTATATATACATATATAACTACTTTTTTACTTTCATATTATGTGTGTGTGTATATATGTACACACACACACACACACAATGAAAACTCATATTCCAATGTTTTATTTTGTGCATCCCTTGCAACAATTTGCCAGTTTGCCCATTTTGGAGCTCATAAATACAAAGGAATGACATTCCTCCGCTGATACATTTTTTTAACTAGGCTTTTAGGTAAACATTGGGTAGGCATGACTTCAAGGTTATTTGACAAATACCTAGACTGTAGCTACACAGATGGTTAGTGTGGATCACATACAGTTCCTTTGAACAATGCTGGGTTTGGGTGCTGACCCCCTCAAGTCGAAAACCCATGCATAACTTTGACTCCCCATAAACTTAACTACTAGAGGCCTATTATTGACTAGAAGCCTATTGATAAACAGTTGACTGACACGTATTTTGGATGTCATATGCATTATATACTGTATTCTTATAATAAAGCAAGACAAACTGTTTCCCCAAATTGTCACAAATCTCCAAAAAAATTTCCAATGTATTTATTTTTAAAAAACCCACATGCTAGTGGATCTGCACATCAAACCTGTGTTAATCAAGGGTTACCTAGGGGATGGGGGAATGAAATTCCTTGAGATTAAAATTGCTAGGACACACATTTGGTTAGAACTCTGTTCTTACTCCACAGGGCCAGGTCACGATGTGCCAGAAACAATATGTAAGTAAACAGATGATGAAAGCAGCAGATCTAACTGCAATATATATTATAATAACAACATATAAGATAAGGCAGTACTCAAATATATATGGGTATAAAGACTATTCTTGTAACCTGTCTAGACATGTCAGTGAGAACATTAAATCTCAAAAATTTAGAATAGGCAATGTATGATATCCAATTGTTAATATCCTCACCTTGCATATCACAGTAGAAACCTCCAGTGTGAATCTAATGTTTAAACGATGATTCAAAAACATACTACTTTGTAAAACAGTACGCAAAAACCTTGCATATTCACGCTGCTACTTCTTGGAACAATGATCAGTGTTTCCTTGTATTTTATTCAATGCTCATCAATCAACAATTTTATTTTTCATGCTTCTCCATTTCTACGTTGGTATGTCTACAACTTTTTAAACAAGTAATTTGTAGTGACAGGTACTCCTGCATTTTGGTTAAAGGATTAGGTGAGAGCAAACTAACATTTGTTGAGTGTTAAAGGCAAAGACTCTGCTACCTGTTTTACAGACAATATATCGTTTAATTTTCACAACAATCCTTAACTGGTGGTAATTATTATTTCCACTTTATAGATTAGAAAACTAAGACTTGGGGGATTTAAGGTCAAAGTCACACAGCCAAGATTCAAACCTAGGTCTGTCTGGCTTCAAAACCTATGCTCCGTCCACTATGCTGAAAAATGGTTTACAATAACCTAACCAGTCCAAGAATACCCAGATAAAATGCACAATCTGTAAATGAAAGCTAACTCCTCTCCCCTCTGAAAGTTGAATAAAGTATTGTAAGCAATGATTATGGGTGATTAAAACCAAGGTCTTGGAAAAGACCACTATAAGACTACCTTCCAGTTCTGTATTAAAGTGGTTTAAAATTGCTCCTCAACCTGCCCTTATCCTACAACCCAAACACAAAACTTAATAGGGTCAGAGTTGACTCCAAAGAATTCAGTTAACTCCAAAACCTGGGTTACAGAAGCATTGCTCAACCCTCTCTCCTGAAAATCTGTGCCCCCAAAAACAGCACAACTCCAAAAAACTGAGGTTAAAAGAAGTAAAAGGCAAATAAAACTTTTTCATCAATAAAAATCTCTCCTTAAAGATCTATTTTATAATGGGTAGCATACTGCAGTAAATAATATACTAAGGTATAATTCCAAGGTACAGTTTATTTCATTATCAAACTGGAAATCAGATGTAGTAACCATCTCAGACTTCAGAGATCTGCTTCACAATCAGATATGTGGGGAAAAAGGCAACTTTCCTAATGACACCAACTACACGGATAGATTTAACTGTTTAGGAAAAAAGACCACTTCTGGGGTTGCACTTCAAGCTTCAATTTATAATATATTTTCTCATTTCCTATATTTTAGGCTTGAAAGAGACCTCAGAATGTATTTTGTTTCAGTTCCCAGCCAACTAAGTATTGTTACTGACCATTTTATAGAAAAGTTAACAGAATTTTAGATATTAAGCAAAGAGTTGGCGGGACTGGGAATCTTCCGGTTTCTTAAAAGAATTTTTTTTTTTCAACCACAAGAATATTGTTTTCCAATGGGACAAGAGGCAGCTAACACTTACTGAGCATTATGAAGAACCCAACATGTATGCTTCCTTTAAATCTCAAACGGATCCGATTTTACGGAAACGAAAAGCTAGGATTTCGCCCAAGGTCATACCTACAGTACGTGGCAGGGCCAAATTAAGTCGGGGTCCACACAAAATGGTCCGGGGAGAGTGTGTTCGGTGATTTCATAAACAAGCAGAGACCTAAACCAAACCCACGCGCCGAGCAGCGACGCCGGGCCGGGAGGCCGGGGCCCCTGCCTGCCCGCTGCCCTGCCCCGGGGGCGCGTGCCCTCCACCGCACAGCCTCTGCCCAGCGCGGGCCGAGCTCCCACCAGCCCCGGAGGGAAGGGGCGCAGCGAGGGGTGCCGGCGGCCGCCGCGGAAGTGGAGAAGGTCAAACCCAGAGGCCGGTGGGGGGTCGGAGGCGGGCCTGGGGGGCGGGGGTGCCGCGAGGGCCACCGGGGGCGACCACTGGGGACCCAAGGCTGGGGCCTGGGAGAGACCGGCGGGGACGCTGAGGGCGGCTTCAGGGAGAGGGAGGAAGGGCCGGAGGGGCCGTTCTGGGCCCATTACCTGCCGGGTGGTTGTACAACGGCCTCAATTTCTCCGGCAGCATAAGCTCCACTTTATCGAGGACCCGGTGGTAGGTGGCCCGCAGGCCGCGGGCGCCGGCGGCTGACATCTCCGCCAACGAGCGACGGTGGGCGGCCGGAGGAGGGCGGCTGCGCGCGCGCGCCTGGCAGACAGCGAAGGGCAGCTCGTCACTTTCCCCCGCCGCAGCGCCGTGCGTCCTCCTCTCCCACGGGTGTCCTTCTCGCGGCGCAGCCTGCCGCGGCCAACCGCACGGGGCCGGGCCCAGGCTGGGCTTGAGGGGGCGAAGGCTCTGCGCCCCACCTCCCGCCCAAGGCCCGCCCGGTCGGGGGCGGAGTCATGGCAACAGGTGCCCGAAGGATTGCCTCACCCAGTCCACACAGTGCGCTGCCGGCGGCGCGCTTGCGCCAGCGGAGCTGCCCACGGTGATTGGCCCTCCGAAGGGCGTGGGCGGGGCCAGGCGCTAACCTCCAATTTCTCCTTCCTGCCTTAGAGGCCATGTTGGAGAAGGGAACGTGAAGCTGCGGCAGCTGTAATCCCCTTCGCTTTGATTAAGGAGGCCCGTAGTTAAAATGGGCCTCTTGCGCCGTCTATGCCCCAACTAAAGATGACGCCGCAGCACGTTATTGCTTCAGCTGGGTTGAGACTATAGAGCGAGAGACTCCAGATCCTATCTTCTTCGCGCTCTCTTTTCCTCATGTATCCCTAGAGAACGAAGGACTTGGCTCAGAGGGACCTGAGCCCACTTCTCTGGGGTGAGGGCAGCGGCGGCGCACACCGGCCTCGGCCCCCGGGGGGCCGTCGTCTCGCGAGACAGGCTTGGCAGGGAGTGTGTGGCGAGCGCGGAGGGAGGAGCGCGGCCGCCCGCGCCCCGCCTCCCCCGCCGCCCGGTGGAGGGGCCGAGGGCGGGCGCTGGTGCCGATCTGGACGCTCTGGGGAGTCTGAGGAGGAGACTATGAGGCGAGCTCCGGCCCGGGTGCAGCCGGGCTCGGGGAGCGACGCCGCGCTCTGACTGGCTGCGCCGCGAGGGCCGGCGCGCGGACGGTACCGGGGCGGCTCGGGGGCTGATCCGCGCGGCCGCCCCCTCCCCCCCTCCCCGCTGGTGTCTCCCCTCCTTCCCCGGCCCGCAGAGCCATGTCGCGGGGCGGCTCCCGCCCACACCTGTTGTGGGACGTGAGGAAAAGGTCCCTCGGGCTGGAGGACCCTTGGCGGCTGCGGAGCCGCTACCTGGGTGAGCGGGGCCGGGGCGGGGGCCGAGTCGCCGCCCTGCGGTGGGGGAGGGGCGCGCCGCGGGCTGTGGGCGGGGGGACGGCGCCGGGGGCGGCGGGCGCGCGAGGCGGACAGGTGTCGGGGCGCGCGGGCGGCTCCCCGCGGCCCGCGCTCTGCCCCTCCGGCGCCCGCGCGCCCGCGCGCCCGCCGGCTGCTAAGTTCCGTCGCCCGCAGCCCTGCGGTCTCCGGGGCCCCGCGGAGCGGCCCGGGCCGCTGGCCGGCGGCGCGCGGTGGCCGCGGAGGGAGGTGTAGGGTTTCGCGTTCCCGTTCCCACCCCGAGAAACACACTTGGCACCGGCCGCTTCTTAGGCAAGCTTTCTAAAAACAGCCTTCGCCGCGTGAGGGCCCGCGTTCCCCTCCCGGCGCCGTCGGGTGAGGCGGCTCCGTGCGGGCCCGGCCGCGGCTGGGCGCCCGGAAGGTCCCGCGGCCGGCCAGGGGCCGTGAGCTCAGGAAGGGTCGCTCTCGTTCCTTCTGTGTGATTGGCGTTACTCCGTATTCTTCCTTGGCTTTTTATGCGAAGGTAGACTCCTACAGTAACATTTTTTTTTCCTCTCCGATTTTGTCACTTTTTGCTAAGTATATGTTGGTGTCCCTTGGCTTGACTTCGAGTCAGTAGAAGAAAATGAGATCTCGTCACACCTAACAGTCGTCGGTAAATCATGTCAGGCTTTGGCAGGCATCTCCCCCCTTACTCTTGTTCAGCTTCTCCAGGGTCACAGGAATACATCCTCCTTGTAAGAACTTACCGAAAATGTAGCAAAACCCCTGCGGGCCCTCCCATGCCGGTTCCGGTTCCACTCACACACACACTCACACACACACACACCTCTCTGCGGGCCCTCCCATGCCGGTTCCACACACACACACACTCACACACACTCACACTCACTCACTCACTCACACACACACACCTGCGGGCCCTCTCATGCCGGTTTCACTCACACACACACACACCCACCCACACACCATTAGAGGTAAACAAGGTTTATGTTGCCTGAAGATTCGTCCAGACCCTGTTCATGGCGTCCTTACGCGCACTGAGTGTTACAGTTGTGTAACATGGACGTGTTACAGTTGTGTGTGTGAGAGAGCGACCTGCAGTTGTGGTGTCCTGTTGTAAACGTGCTTTTGCAACTTGCATTTCTACACTACACCTTGGAGATCTTTCATGGCAGTAAAAATAGATCTATTCAGCTGTTTGAGCTGTTCCGTGGTGTGTACCAGCCCGAAGGCACTGACTGTGGTAAGACTCGCATCTCTCCTCGGGCAATGCAGTTCGCTCTTACAGCGCTGCACCCAGCATCCTTGTACCTCTCGGAGTGGTGATGATTTGTCGTTTTAAAATTAAACATCAGTAGCCAGTGGTTTTTTAAACCATTAACCTAAAAAGATGTGCTGTGTTTCCTTTAATATTTATTTGCTAAGAAATAATTTTAGCTTGATGAAACAAACTTCAACAGGGTGTTCTGCACGATCACTTTATATCTGGTCCTTATTCAGTGGGACTTTTTAAGTATTTATATGTAGGTTTATATGGTAATGTTTTCTTCTGGCTCAGTTAGTTCAGCTGTATCTCTAATCCAAAGAGTCAGTTAAAATATAGTTAAACCATTTCCCCCGTTCCCTTCTTTCTCCCTAGTGGGAGTGGAGTTTGTGTGTTGGGAGGAGCGGAATTGAAGCGGAAGAGTCCACTGACGATAGTAGAAAGTCCAAATTAATACATTTTCAAATATATATATGTAGTACAGGGAATTCCCTCAATAATATTTTTAAAGTGCTAATGTGTACTTTATAATTAACACTTTCTTGAAACAGCTTCCTTTGAAAGCAGTTTTGAAAACGGCTTGTAAGGTAATTTCGTGGCCTTAGTAGATCTTTACATCATTAGTTTATCCAGCTCTTCACACTCCCTTGCTAATCTTGGTTTAGCATTCAGGAAATGGCAAAATCCACAATAGTGGATTTTTTTAAAAGTGATATTTTGAAGTATACTCTTATGACTAAAACCCTGAGACCAGGAGTTTTAGAAAGTAGATTTCTTTTTTTTTTGAGACTTCAGTAAACATTTTTTTCTGTATTGTGGGTTAAATATTTTTCCAATTTATGTCCATTATTTGTATTTCTAATAATGAATTACTGCTAAATAATAGTGAAATTGGGGCAAAACGAACGGACAGATTTTTCTTGTAACATTTTTATTTCAAATTATTTCACCGTAGTATGTATCTTTCCAGTAGTACCATCTAAGCTTGGTAGATGATTTTATTATTTAACTTTGGTTAATTACCTCTTTTCCTACCATCAAAGAAAGTTGCAGCTCAGAAAACATACTTTTATATTGCGGGAGTGAAGATAATTTGTCATGTGTTATTTAGAAGAAAAGATCTCTATGTTTACTTGTAGCCCTCAAATTCACAAGATTGACTTGAACTGATACAGTGTTGTTTGGTCTAGCGTGGGATCAGAACTAGGCCAGGCACATGGTGATCTTTATGAGCCTGATCTAAATTTCATTGTAGGATTTATTTTTCTAGAGTAATTGTCAAAGTCGGGAGTTAGAGGTAGGTTTAAGTTTCTCAAGATACTTTAGGTTAGCTATAGAGGAGGCTTTGGGAATCAGTTACTGTTTTAATTCACTGGCCACACATATTTCATGCATGTATAGTTTTACAAAGATAAACATTGCTTATAAAAGATTCATTCTGTACATTTCCTTTTTTTCATATGTCTCTCATTTTAGACTTGCCTACAGCCTTGAATTTATACTTTGTAACTTCAAAATTAAAAGACAGTAATTGACAAGTAAAGGAACTTTTAAAGGGAGTTGTTTACTATAATGTAATATGTTTAAATTATGATTTGGCAGTGTCTTAGTTGGGCTGCTATAACAAGTTACCATAAACTGGGTAGTTTATGAACAACAGAAATACATTTCTCAGTTTTAGAGGCTGAAAGGCTGAGCACAGGGTGCCCATATGGTCAATTCTGCATCTGGTGAGGGCCTGCCACCTGGTTCATAGCCTCACATGGCAGAAGGGACAAACTTTAACTCTGGAGTCTCTTTTGTATTTAATTTAATTGGATCCTAATCACCTCTCAAAGATCCCACCCCTTATCACCTTGGGAGTCAGAATTTTAACATAGGAATTTTGAGGGGACACAGATATTCAGACTAGCATAGCAGGTAGCCAGTGACAACTTTATAGCAGAGATTGAAATGTCTTTTTGTAAAAGGATTAGGAAGGCTATGCCCTCTGAATATCATTAGAGTCAGTATGTATTGAAACAGATACTTTTGCATTTAGGTTACTTCTTAGCATATCCTGAATACGTCTACATTCAGATGTACTAAGTTCTTTATAATGTGTTGCCAAGTTACAATATAGTATATGAGGAGCAGTAAATTCTGATTTTCATTTGTTAGCTACTGGGGAAAAATTAGTGGAATAGTTTGTATTTTGTTTCTTTAGTCTTGAACTCAAAGTTGAAAAATGACTGTCAAATATGACAACTGTATGTAATAGAATATGCTGGAAATTCCTGAAGATAAGCTGTTATAGTCCTAGCAACTGCGGACAGTTGAACAGCTCTGCTGGATTTCATTCCTCCCTCGTATAGGATGAAAGTGCTTAGGAAGGATAGGAGCTTCTTTTAGCACAGAGTTTATATTACAGGTATGTTTTAGGTCAGCGTTTTTCATATGTTTTGACCACAAATACATTTACATGGTGACTTGTGATATACATAACTAAAATAAAAGATTCTTACTAGGTGGGGTGCATTCTCCTCTCTGTATCACATTTAAAATGTCGATGTTGACCCAGTAGAATATCCACTAATGAGTCTTGACTTTAGGTTTGTAAAACTGTTCTGGGTGTGTGCATTCTTTATAATTGCGATCGAATGTTATTGACTTCAAGATAAGGGTGGGTGGGTTTTCCCAGTACTTGTAGCAGATTAAAAAAAATTGTTTTTAAACAGTGCTCCTGGTTAATAAGATAAAAGTAATGAACTTCTTTTTATTTACGCCTTAGAAAAAATAACTAGAGCAGGACACTTTTAAATCCTCACTTCTTGAGTAATACCTACACAGGGATTGAGGTGTATAAGTGTGTAATTTTATAAATTGTCAGGCTGTTTTCCAAAATAATTGTATCACACACCCTTCCCACCAGCAGTGGTTGAGAGTTCCAGCTGTTACACATGCTCATCAGTACTTGGCATTGTGAGTCTTCCTAATTTTAGCCTTTCTAGAAGGTATGTAGGGATAATATTATCATTTTAATTTGCATGTGATTTAATCCTGATGATTAATGTTGACTCAGCTTGTTTGCCATCATATACCTTAGCTAAATGTTCAGATATACCTTCTTAATAATGTAAGAATTCTTTATATGTTCTTGGTACAAGTTCTTAATCAGATACGTGTTTTGCAAATATTTTCTCCCAGTTTGTGTTTTGTCTTTTCTTTTTCTTAACAGTGTCTTTTTTGGTTCACACCTTTTGTGTCCTGTTTAAGAATCTTTACTCAAGCTAAGGTCACAAAGATTTATAGTATGCTTCTTTCCATAAATTTTCTGTTTTTAGCTCTTACGTTTAGGTCTGTGAACAATTTTAAGTTAATTTTTATACATGCTGTGAGGTAAGGGTCAAGTTTCATTTCTTTATGAATGTAATGAATGTGCAATTGTCCCGGCACATTTGTGAAAAGATTGTCTTTTCCTCTTAATTGAATATCAATTGACCGTACATGTGAGTGGATTTCTCTAATGTTCTATTGATTTAGGTGTCTATCTTTATGCTGGTACTTCATGTCTTTAAAGTAAGTATTAAATTAGGTAGTGTGATATTTTGAACTTGGTTCTTTTTTTACAAAACTATTTTGGCTATTCTGGGCCCTCTTCATTTCCATATAGATTTTTCAGCTTGTCAGTTTCTACAAAAAAGACTGCTGGGCATTTG